ATGTAAACAACTACATTTTAGAGAGTGGCTGCAGCCCTTCGGCTAGGTTTGGATAGGTTTATCGCAAATAATTCTAGTTTCAAGTTCTGAGATCAAACAAAACAAAACAGCTCCGCCTGCCCCCCAGCAGCAGGTCTCCTCCCCCAGGGGACAGACTACAGAATGACAGCACTCACGTCTCAGGGAAACTATTCTTAACGCTCATTAAAATCTATGGGTAGAGCCTTGGTTAGGTGCTAATCTGTCTCTAACCCCTTTCTTTGAAAGGCATAAACCTGTCCCATGTTAGGAAGGGTATGCAGAGGCCAGGGCTCAGGAGGACCCGCTGGAGAGCACAGACATTAAAAAAACAAGCTAGAGCATCTCCTAATACCTAAAAAAAAACTAAAATAAAAATAATACATTTTTAAAGTGATCTAGTGTAAAATGCTTTACTCAGTTATAAAGCGCCTTTAACTGAATACGTCTGTGACCTATGTCTGGCTCTGTCATCTAGGCAGGAGTGGGGGCGAGAGAGAGAATCTACCCTATTTTTAAAACATCTCTGGGGAAGAAGAGTTCTTAGAAACTTGTGTTAAACTCTAATCATCTTGGTTATTATGAATCTTTTGTATCCAATCTAATTTTTTCCTTTTATCTTTTTATTCTTTAAGATAATTTCTTCCTTTCTGGTCTTTGAAAATAAAAAATAATGAGGTCTGCTTCCTAAAATATAAGTGAAGAGTTATCATGTCATCCCTTACTGTTTATGCCTCAAGGCAAAATAACCCCGATTCCCTCTTGGGCCTGGCTTGATGTACGGCACAAAGCAGACGTCACTGTCAGCCAGGGTTGCTGGGTGTGACAGCTGATGACCTGGCAGCTCTGGATGTGAGACCACAAAACCCCGCCTCAGACTAACAGCCAGGCAGACTGTGGAAGCTGGCCCTGCCGGTCACAGGCCTACAGCATTCTTCAGGTCTGATGGGAGTCACTGTTCTTCTCAGTCACAGGACTTCCCCAGGTGGCCTTCCTCTGCCTGTGTCTATAGGATTCTATGCTTCCAGCTGGGTGCTTGTCATCTTCCCTAGAAGGAAACCTATCTTATGAGCAGGTTGGGTTCTCAATTCCAAATAAAGCACAGTCAAAAGCTGCATTTGGTAAAAATTAACCCAAGAAAGATTTCTCCATCATCCACCTTAGTCAGTTGTTTCTTAAGTGATGCTTCTGACTAGACTCGGCAAATAAAGAAAACTATGTTATCTCAACACCAAACAGATTCCTGTTGGTGGAAAGGAGGTCACTGATTCAAATAAAATCACCAGCTTCTAGTTTTTTAAGACTGGGTTTATTTGGGAGATTTTTCTTTTCATTCAAAATAGGTCCCAGGCATGAAATGGAAATCACAGGATGGAGACCCAAAACAGAATACAGTACTTTAACTAAAACTGTATCTAACACATCCCAGAATGTCGTCTATGGTAAGCGATCAACACAAGTTTGGTGAATGACTGAATGGGCCATACAAATGAGGAGGACTGTGTAGGATGGTTTGCTGGGCTCACTGAGGAGCACCATGGTGGCGGCCCTGGGCTTCATCCCTGGAGAAGAACTCTAGTACCAGGGTCCAAAGGCTTCACTCATTAACATTCTCCTGGTATGGACACTAAGGTCCCACTGTGTGCCAGCAAGGTTTTCTGTGGCTTTCTAGACATGTGCTTTGGCAACTGCCATCACACTGGGCTTAGTGTGGTGAAGTGGCCTCGTCTAATTCCCTGCCAGATGGGAACTTTTGAGAACAGAGGACATGTCTTATTTGTGGCACTATCCTGAGTTTCAAGAACAGTGCATGGCACATGCAAGTGCTTAATATATTTGAATGAATGAAGTTCAGAGAGCTCAACATCTCATCCTCGAAGAATATGTAGTGAAATTTCTTCCTGCATATCCCATCCACTCCCTTCTGAGTCACTCATCCAAAATCAGACAATCCCTGGGTCTAGGATTAATTCTAAGGATGTTGCCCTTAATTCACCTTCTAGAACCTTCTTTGACACCTAGTCGAAGTAAAGGCTTGCTCCAGTAAAGACTATCTCCTAGGTACAAGTATGGCCATCCACCCCAATAGGTCCAGGTTCCTAGGTAGCTCTTTAGTGCTTTTAAGCTCAGCCCAAACCCTTATTTTCGAGAGAGAATATCTGCCTCCATGACTGAACCTCATACCTTGATACCTCTTTCGGAATTCCCTATCAAAGGTACACACCCTGAGGACCCACAACGGAGGGGCCCAGTGATGAGTTACTTGCACATATAGGAACTGGGTTAAATTTCTGTTGCTGAAAGAAATCTTGCTGCCCGTCAGCCATAAGGACTCTGCCTCCTTGAGTCCCTGCCTAGCCATCAGCACCAGATTCAAAGGCCTGGGTACCTGGCTATGGGTGGCTTTCCCCAGAGCCCCATGTGTTCAAAGCATTATAATTAAGCTATGCTGGCTACCCCATTAATCATGTAAAACTCCAAGGGAATAGGATTAAAATACCATCCATCCAGACTCAGGTCATACAGTCAGCAAGGAGCGAGGCACAACCACAAAACACAAAGTTAGAGGGCAGCAAATGACTGGGAGACGGCCCTGAGCCACTAGGAAAAGCTCCAAGGGGAAAAAGAAAATAACAGCACTGGTACAAAGAGAGCAAATGATTTTCCTTTAATTACCTTCTGATTTAGGACTAGGAGTAGATGCTGGGAACAGGTAGGTAGGAGTATAAGGATTGTCGTCTGTAGCAGAGAAAAGCAGTGGATTTTGAAACTGTCCACCGTGAAGTGGAGGAACTGACAAATCCCCAGTTGACTCTTTTGAATGACTGATTACTTATTTTAGTTTTATTAAAGCACACGGCATCACATTCAAAACGAGATTAATGAATTAGAAAGGACTTAGTCATTTTAACGTAGCACATCATGCAAATGAGTGAAATAAAAATTCCACCAGGCAAAAATGACTATAAAAACAAAATCTAAAAGCCAAATTTTATTCCTACATGGAACTATAAGAATTAATTTAAGGCTAGGACAACAGATACACTGTCTAAGTTTATGGTACCTTCAGAATTTTGCTGGATTTCAGGAAGTTCAGGGAATTTGTACGTAGGGAAATAAGGGTTTTCTTCAGGAGTGTCTAGGCAGAGGAGCAGGTTTGGGAGAGAGAATAGAGGAAGATACAAATGGAGAGAATGAACGAAAAGGAATCCACACACAATACAGGCTCCTTGAATTCTGGAACATACCAAGCTTTACTTGCAATGTGAAAGAAACTGAAACCGCTTTAAAAATCCAGTCCTTTTGCCTGAATTACTGAGACACATCTAAAAGGATAATATCATTTCTCTTCCTGGACAAAAAAATTACACATATACAGGCTCTAGTAAGCACAAAGGATTTAGCACAAAGCTTCAAGTTTTCATCTTTTATAGGCAAAAAAATACCAAGTTTGTGAATAAATAAATATGCAATGAAAATACATGATTTTTTTTTTTAAATCAAAGCTTGTGCTGTGGACATTAAAATCCAGGCAAACAAGTGAACTTTAAAATTTGTCAAATACCTCTGTCTACCATCAGGGCAGGTCATTTTGTTTAGAATTTGTTGTAATGTACATTGCGCTAGTAACTATGACAGGGGAGGGCCAATGCTGCCTGTAGGCTGGGGGAAGAATTACACATTTTTCACATGTGCACCTCTGTCTCAGCATTTGGGCTGCCAAAGCCAGGCCTAAAGGTGATAGAGACATAGATGCACATGGAGGAAATGGACTTTGGCTTTACGAAATGACCAGAGGAACTGACAGCATCCAGAGACGCAGCCTTTAGCATCACCACTTTGACGGAGCTCCTCCACCCAACCCTTATGGATGGATTCACTATTGATTTAGAAACATCAAACACTGAGCATCTCAATGTTCAGACAGGCTGAAGAGGGTCACAGCCAGATTCATTCTGAACACCGCAGGAGCTAATTACCAGCGCCGTTAGGTGGCATCCACAGCCGATCAGAGAGGCTGGTTATTTGCAGCTCAGGCCAACGCTGGCCACTACACTTTTTCTTTGCCTTCATGTGTCATCCATGCCAGGCAGCCAGACTGGATTTGGCCCCAGGAAAGGATCTGAGGCTCTGCCCACAGGAGGAGTGGTACCCTTTCCACGGCGCAGCGGCACCCCTGTGGGCAAGCTGACTGCAGCACAGGTGGATGGGAGCGGGTAGGTCGTGAACTGCCCGAGCGCTGGCCTGGGGCTCTCCCACCATGCTGGGTCACCTGCTGACAGCCTAGAGGGCCCAATTTGGAAGTGCTTCTCTTCTAGCTTGAGCAGGCTTTGGTGTATGAGCACTTGACTGACTCTCAGGACTGTCTGCCAAGTGCTGGCTCCCAGCTGAGGAAGATTATTTTTCATATTAATACTGCCTTGCAGGTGCACCATGCATTCTACTTAATAAGGCAGAATTTGCTCTTATGTGGACCCCTCCAACATCCCTTGGAGGAAGGAAGTGGGACAAACATAGATCCGCCCAAGGTCACAGGAGTGCCTGGGAGACTGAATCCAGGTGAGAACAATTTGCTCCTTTTCCAGTTCAGGGCTTTCTCAACTGGGTCCGCCTATGAGGCAGTCATGGGCTGACACAAGGTGGCGCACCTAAAGCTGGAAGCAGGTGGGAGCCGGAGCTGCTCGCGTCCCTGGCAGGCAGACGCTGAAGTGAGGCAGAGGGCTCGGCTCAGCCTGCTGCATCCCATGACACCTGGGAGGGAGGACCTGAGAGCTGACCTCAAACCTCACATGCGAGGCACACAAGTCACTCGCCTCCTTCTCTGCTCTGAAGGTGCGCGGCTGGGCTCAGGCCTGCCAGATGCCGAATGAGGGTGAGCCGCAGAGCCTAGTCTTCTGACATCCTAGCAAAGTGAGCTCAGGCCCTCACTGCAAAGGTCAACAGAGGAGCCCAGCACAGCTTCTACACATGAAAATCAGTACCTCTGTTCAGCTTGTGGATCTGCTTAAACATCGTCTTGTACCAGTCTTTCGATCTCTCAGTGTTCTGGAGAAAAACAAAGGCAAAGAGAAAAATAAAATGGAAATCTTGGCACATTTCAGAACTTCTATGATTATAAAATGCCAATGGAAAGTGACAACATCTTAAGTCCAAACTCCCCTAACTCTCTACATCTCTGTGATCCCACATGTAAATATTTAAAAAAAAAACAAAACAGGAGAAAGAATGAACAAACCAAGAGATTCAGGCCTAAATCTGCAGAGTAGTATTTGGCTAAAAGAATGAAGATTTAGGGGGGCAAAAAAAGAGGGGATAAGATCCACTCAAAATGTGTCTGTTCTTATATAATTTTTTGAAGTTTCACTTTTAAAGAGAATCTCTCTCCATACATGGATGACTAAACTGAAGTAAAGCCTCCTAGGGACATAAGAGATGAAGAATATTTGCTTATCAGGCCATGTCCCCATCCAGGTTATTCTGTAAGTGTATTATTAAGTCACCTTGTATAGGGACAGACTTGGAACACATATATAATGTAACCCATTAATAGCAGCCAATGCCAGAGAGTTCTCATCCTAGCACAAAGCTGGGCTGTTTTTATTTTAAGATAAAAACAAAACAAGAAAGGGGACAGATACTGGGTGGTTAGATCAGATATTTTCACTCCCACTTCACAGATATGGAAATGAGATACAGAAGGTCACACTGAATTGCCTGGGATCACAGAGCTAAGAGGAGGTGAGTGGGAATGCCACCTCACATGACAGTCAGGGGCATGGGCTTGGGAGTTGGACAGACCGCTCCAGCACCCCCAAGTTGTGCAATCCTGGGGAAGTCATGTATCCCACTGAGTCCCTGTCTCCTCACCCAGAAAATGGGAATGATATTAGTAACCATCTTGTAGAATGAAAGATGTTTAAATGAGATGACGCACTCAGCAAATAGTAGCTGCGAATCCTAGTAACAATTCTCTACTTATTATTATAATATATGAATTATTGCTTAGGACCAGACACTGGTTCTTTTGAGGCTTAGCCCACACCACTTCAACTGGTCTCCTCCAAAGGGAAAAAAAAAAACAATCTACTAAGCAGAAACTGTACAGAAACCACAGCTAGTGTTCTGGTGGGCACATGGAGAAGAAAGGAATTCACCCTAATCCAGTTTCAAAAGTCAGGCTTGCCTTGAGTTCTTTAGGGCCTATGAGAGGCCGGCATGCCTGTACAGCGGAGGAGAGCTGGGCATGGCTGCCTCAAGACCCACTCTGTTCCGGAGGCTTTGGCAGGCTGACTCCATTCTTTGGGTCCTATAGAGCCTTCTCTGCACCCCCCCGGATGATGACCCATCCAGGGGAACTGTTCCCTGAGCCTGTAAACAGGGAGCTTGAGGCTCACACTCTCCCAGGATTCTCTAGTCCTGGACCAACACTTTCTGACTGAGCTCCACAGAAGAGCATAGAGACTGGGGAACGCTGCCCACGACATCCACCGCTGAACTCACACGTGCTGAAGCCTCTCAGAAGTTATGCTTCAGACAGACCTGTCTGCCTTTGTCCCACTCTGCTTTTCCCCATATTCGAGTAGCCTTTTCTCACAAGGCTTATGGACACCTAACATAAGCTTAAGGGAAAAGCTGCTAAACACTGAGCCCAGCACTCGGGTGGGCTTGGGAGGCTGGCCCACAGCAGGCTTCGAGAGTAGGCGGGGCTGAGAACCTCCTCATGAGGCCTTTGCAACCCACAGATGGAGTTCACATGCACTCAGGGGTGTACACTTCTCACTGGCCTGCAGACTTCTACGTCAGTGTTCGTACCCGGAGTGGGATGCCCACATCATCCATGGACACATCGCTTAGGTCCTGAGCACTCTTAGCCACCCGCCTGTCATCCTTTGCCCTTTGTTCAGCAGCCCTGCCAGGTGAGGTGGGTTTTTCCTGGGTTGGTGCTGGGACCTGCTCTCCCACTCTTCTTTCTGAGACAGGATCTAAAAGTGAAAAACGATTGTTAGCTAAAGCTCTTCTGATGGCTGCAAGGCAAAAACAGCCTCCCAAACAACGCAGCTGGGGGAAGTGTGTTTGTTAATTCTCAGTTGGCATGAGTTTTGCTTATGGTAGGTGTCAGCAAACTATGCCTGGCCACCTGTTTCTGCAAATAAAGTTTTCTTGCAACACAGTCACACCCACTTGCTCACGTATTATTTATGGATGCTTCTGAGCTACAATGGCAAAGCAGAGTAGCTGTGACAGAAAACATGCGGCCCATGAAGCCTAAAATATTTACCATCTAACCCTTTAAAAAAAATTTGCTGACAGCATTTGAAGTGCCCTGCAGAAGTGTGCAACTGGTGTTGCAGACATCTGAGTAGTTCTGACAGTTCTAGTAATTCAGGGAGCAGGTAAAACCACAAGGAAGTAGCCAAATGCTACTGGGAAGTTGTTTCATCTCCTGGAAGCCACTTAACTTTGAGTGTCTGCATTTTCTCCTCCAAAAATGAGGCTAACACTTCCACTGGCAAACTTGCAGCAATGCTGGATATGAACCTAACCAGATAACTAATGCTGAAGTGCTCAGAAAGCAGTGAGCTGCTAAATGCACAACAGAGTTTAAGTGATTCAGGATGAGAGGTTACAGAGAGCTACTAAACACACCATGCGTGGTCTACAGATTACACAATTACATAGTATAATCTGCTATTCCAAGCCATGTCACTTATTTATGGGAAGGTATTTACTAATAGGCACCTGCTGTGTGCTTTGCATTCACATGCCATGGGGGTAAACCATTCAGAGCGCTGGCCTTCAAGCTGATGTCCCAGTGGGCAGAAAGAGCAAGAAAGTCCGCAGTGAGCATGCAGGGTGACCAGCCATCCAGCTCAGCTGAGGAATGGAGGTTCACGGCCCACCCCTCAGAGGAGGAGTCAGCCAGACAGTCAGAAGTGAAGGGTGTTCTTGGCAGAGGGAACAAACAGAAGCACATGCAAGCAAGACGGCCACCTCTGAACTACTCCGAGCTTATTATGTGCCACTGTGCTAAACTTTTCATTATACGTCATCTCAGTTTATCTTCTCAATAACCCTGTAAGGAGGAAACTATTATCATCCCTCTATTTATTTTTTCTTTTTTAACAGTTGAGGGGACCAAAGCACACGGAAGTTAAAGTAACGGGCCTGAGGTCACATAGCCAGTACATGGCCAAGCTGGGATTTGGACTGGCGGCCCCCTGACTCCAGCAGACTCTGAACCATAGCCTGTCTTGCCTCCTTAAAGATAGTACCACGGTTTTGAGCCTGGCCTCATCCAAACAGAGAAGTCTGGAAAGGGAACTTGTTGGAAGGCAAAGAGAGACGGCTACTTCCATTTAGCCCCGCCACCTTGGAGAAGACAGTGAGACAGTCAAATAGAAGTGCCCTAGAGACCCCCAGAAGAAATGTGGGAGTGCAGCCCAGGAGAGAGGTCCCAGCAAGAGTGCTGTTCTGGGGCCACCAGCACACAAGCAGTGGCTGAAGTCCAGGAAGCGGAAGAGCCCAGAGGAGAAGGAAAGTGGGAACAGAGTCAGGGCTGAATCACACAGTGAGGATGTCACACTTACAGGCTGAAAAGCAAAAAAGGATTTCCAAAAGGATGCTTGAGCCACTGGAGGCAGAGGAGGTGAATCAGAAAGGGAAAGTGAGGTGTCCCCGGTACCACAGAGTGTAGATGCCCTGGAGGTGGGCAGCTAAACACGTCACTCAGTCAGTAAATAAAGCTGAAGCAGAGGAGGAGGCATTAGGTCCGGCAACAGGAGAGTCACAGGACTGCTCTGAGGGAGCAAATTTCAGCGGGCAGTGGGGCAGAGATGTCAGGCTGCAGGGGAAAGAATGAATGTGGGAGCAGGCAGTGGCGTCAGCAGTAGAGAGGGAGGCCGGCACCCAAGGAACAAGATGGCAACCAGAGAGGTCCGAGGATTAGGAGGCAAAAAGGTTTAGGCCAAGGGAGTCTGAAGTCCTACATATAGCCGTATGGTGAGACCGGAAGGGACGGAGATGGGCCCTGGCAAGGAGTGTGAGCTCAGCAGGTGGCCACTGCTTGACGGAGGGGCTCTTCAAGAAAGGAAAAGGTGCGGAGTGCTGGCTAGAGGCCTAAAATCTCGCAAAAAGCAGGGACCCAAGGCTCCATGAACCACTATGCCAAAGTCAGAGATGTGCGTCTGTGTGTGGGGAGGGTGGGGAAGCGGGGACACGCTGTATCAGCTCACTCAGGTTGCATGACTTGCACAGCCGACTTGATGCAGTGACTCCACCCAGGTTTCCAACTAACTCTGGAAATGCATGCTCATTTTTGACTGCAGGACAATTTCTAATCATTCTGTGCGAGACTCAGCTTAGTGAGTGCTTCGGAAACCCTGACCCCAGCCATCATCGCCTTAAGCTTTAAAGGATGTTAAGGCCACACTGGCTTCACGGATGAGTTCTCATGCTCCCAGCAAATTCCAACAGGAGGCCAAGGATTTGGCAGGAAGCCAGAAGTGCAGGGGGGGTTTCAAGTTCTACCCTTCCTATGGCTCTGCTGAGCACCCTCCTCCCACCTGGAGGCTCCTGAGTGTGATCAAGAAGCAGCCAGTGAGGCTGATCTCAGGTTGCCTCACCAGGTGCTTGGAGGTGCTCACACCTTCCTCTTTAACATCATCTCTTACGAAGAGGAGGAGGAAGATCACAGACATGTCATTCTCCAGGTTTCCAGGTCCAGAGAGAAATTTTTTTAAAACTGTTAGGGCAGGTGGCTCCAACACCACCACTGAACTGCAAAACTCAGGCTGACAGTCCATGGAGTTGTTCCAAAGCTGCCAGAATCCCTTTTGATCTACAAAAATTAGTCCTGAATTATTTCACTTTGGAAGCTTGTGATCATATGATTCATAACGAGTGGATTTCAATACTAAGGGCTGAAATGCAGCCTCAAAGAAAAAATGTTTCTTTATATAGTGAAAACCCAAGTGTGGAGAGAGTAAAGGTTCCTGTGGCCCGGATTCTCACCCCGCCCTGGTCAGCTTGCTCACTACACGTGTGGGTATTATGTTGTTACTGACTCTATATAAAGAGCTCCGCCCAGTGCTCTGGGCGACACGGTGGCACGGCCACATGGCTGCTGCATGGCTGCAGGAGAGCGGAGACTGGAGTGGTGGCAGTGCTGAGGACAGAGACTGAGACGGCTGCAGGGGCAGAGAGGCCCAGAGGCAGAGACCGGCTTGCTGCATGCAGACTCGCTCTGAGTGGAGAGGATTCTAGCGACTAACCTGCCACAATGAGCCTAAAGCTGGGTAATAAATCCTTTCACCCAAGAACATTCCACTGTCATTTTTTCAGTGTCACTGAATCCACTCTGAACTTGTTTGGGGCTGAAACCCTTTGGCAAGACACCAAGTAACACTTTATTGTGCCCTGTAGGTGACAGGACCACCCTCTGACTTTCATGTTACAATGTAGGCTTACTGCTTGTGGGTAAAATTGTAGTATTTTCAGAATATCTCGCCTGGCTTTAGTACATCTGCATGTCAATACGCGGTGAGAGGCAAAAAGAAGTATGGCTTTAGGGCATTTGCATCATTCCTCAGGGGTGAAGAGAAGTTCATCTCAACATCAATGGGTAATTATCTGGGCAAGGAGGGCTCATCTGTACCCCAGAGGTGAGCGGAGGGCTGGTTTTGCTGCTGCAGGAGCAGGAGAGATGGACTGGACTGAAGTTTGTGAGCCATAAATGGGTTTTAAACTTTATTTCTCCCTTTGACTGATTTTGGTTTTTAGAGGTATTTTGCCCCGGGATTTCCTTTCCCCGGATTTATACTGCTGTTCCTCACCAGGCAGATACTGATTCCTCATATGACATCCTAGAGTATTTCCTTCTATTTTTATACTATGCTTTGAAAAGGAAGGTCCTGGGAAGGACCACTAAATAAATGATGATGCTGACAACCTCAGACAGGCCTCAGTGTTCACAGGAGGTGGGAAGCTTCCCTCTTCTTCACACCCAAAGCTCTGTGATGGGGGACTCCCCCAGTGCTAACACTTCCCTCAGGAAGGGAGACATGGCCTCTCTACCCCCTGGGGCAGCCCCTCTATCTTAGCCCTTGTTTTCCTGTCTGTCTACCCAAGGGGACCATGAAGCCAAACATGTGGGCCTCATTCCCGCATGAATCCCATTGAAATCCACTAGGGCGGGGGAGGCTGGTGGTCCTACACTGCCCACGCCACGGGTGCGACACTGAGTGTCACAGGGCACTGAGTGCAGAGCCAGCCCAGCCCGCCCACCCGCTCGCCCCCTTCAGGAGCTTCTCAACAAAATGGTGCTGCCTCTTTTTAAGTGAAGACTAACAAACACTTAGTGAGCACTACTTCATGTCCTGTTCTATCAAACACCAGTAGTGCATCTGTCCCCAAACGAGGATGGAAGCATCAGGCTTATTTTAGAGCCGAGGAAGTGGGGCCTGAGCCTGTCAGCAGGGGCAGAAACCCTGATACTCACACAGCACCATCCAGTGTGTGAGGCACACTGCCCCTTCCTGTTGCGCAGGATCGTCTTGGAGGCAGGGCAAGTATTAGCATCCCCATATGCCCCCCTGGGGAAACTGGCTCAGAGAGGTAATGTTATTCACCCAAGGACAAACAGCTATAAGAGGGCAGGGCCAAGACCCATCTCTGGGTCTCCTAACTTGTGTTAGGGGGGCTCTTTCATCTATTTCACTACTCCTTTCCAAATCCCAAAGGTAGAAAGGGGCCCACAGGAGACACCCACCCTGTTCTCAGCAACCTTGGCTGGAGCCAGGGAGTGAAGTGGACTGGGGTGTGGCAGTGCCAGAGGGGGCAGCGAAGGGCACCTTGTGCTCAACCACAGCCTGTCCAAGCCCTGTGGCCAAGCCCAGATAAAGCTGAGAGGATGAGAGAGCTCCATGTTCATCCCTGCTGGGCCCTCCACAAGTCACAAGGACAGCAGGAGGATGAAGGAACACCGAGATCAGGAGCAGCTGCTCAGAAAACTGTGGCTTTTGTTTTGTAATCCACCAGATCAGGGTTTCTTAACCCTGGAGTTCATGAGTATCTGCAAATCTACCCCATGCATGTTGACACACATGTGGCTTTCTCTAGAGAATGAATCTGCTCTTATTATAGTCTCCAAGTGAGTCCAACCCCCAAAAGTGGCCACAAACCGTCACACCACACCACGAGCAGCTCATGGGCAGCAGTTCCCTGATATGGCCCCAGAGCCTGGCTCAGTGCCTGACATTAAGTCGGCACTCAATAAAATTAGAATTGAATCAGTGGAGGCACCTTCTGATAACAGTCCCTGGCATCTATCAAGCATTTAATAAGTGCCGACGCTCAGTGCTCAGCTGTTTATAGCAGAATCTGTGAAGCACTACCGCATTCACCATTCAACACTTAAAAAGAGTGATCTGTGGTTCAGTTCATTAGTAACCTGCCTAAGATTGCACCATTAGTAGAACCAGGATTCAAAGCAGAATGGCTATAAGCAAGGCATGACGAAATGATTGGACATTCCCATTCCTGGGATTCTTCATGATTTGGACCTACGTGTCTGCCCCTGCCCACCCCGACTTGTCCCAGTCCTGTGCACGCTACCAGGGATGGAGACCTGATATCTGACCACACTTGCAGTCACTCCCCACCATCAGTTCTTGGTGAAACGTGCCACTCCAGCGTGCTCAGTACAGAGGGCAGCATCAGCCTCACTGGGGATCCACTTAGAACTGCAAATTCTCGCCCATACCCACTTAACCCGCACCTCTGGAGCTGCGGCCTGAGAATCTGGGTTTTAACCCACTCTCCAGGAGATTCTGATGCCTGCTCAAGGTCAAGAAGCAGTGCTCTCACACCTGCTTCCAGGCCCACACCTGCGTCCACCACCCCAGGGTTGTTTACCGGCATTATTTGCCACCCAAAAAGAAAAGAACTTGCCCCCATTCCCCAACCCCAACTGGTCACATCATAGAAGGCAGACAGCAGCAACAGAAAGGTGGCTTCTTCAGCAAAGCCTGCCATAAACACTCCATCTAAAGCTTAACTCTTTGTTCTTTTTATTCAGAATATCCTGTTCCTACCCACCAAGACATGCAACACAGCTCTGCAGGGCATGTTTCCCAGTCTGGGTCACTTGTCTCATCTGCCCCCAGCAGCCTACAAGCTGCAGGGAGGCAAGAGCCATGCCTGTTCTCATTGGCTTTGTAGTCCAGCGACAGACAGAGTCCCCAGCATCACAGGAGCTCCTAAGGCTTTGCTGATTGGGAGGTGACCAGAAGGTGGCTTTCACAGGAACAGGGGTTAATGGGTAAATAAATATTTCTCACCTACCTGAAAGGCTACTGAGTCGTTTTTGCTGTTCTGTGATAAAAGAGAAAATACACATTGTAAGATTTACATAGACATGGTGAGACCACACAGTCATAACTCACTAGCAGCCCCATGCCTGTATCCTCAGTGCCCTCTGGGCTTAGATGCCAAAATGCTGTGCAGTCCAAGCTAATAACGTGGCTCCCATTCCCCAGGCGCTACCTCACCATAGATCTGCACCAGGATGCAGGAACTGTCATTGTTTTCTGATTGTTTACATCTGGTCTCAAGATGATCTGATCACTGAAGGAGACCCTCCCAACTCTGCTGGATTCAAGGGAGCAGGACCTTATGCAACGCCAGTCTTGGTACTTTTGAGGGAAATGTAATGATAACCATAGCAGCTACCATCTCCTGAGAGCTTGCTAAATGCCCTTGCATTAACAGCTTTCACACAGTTTTAACCTGTTAACAATAACCGTAGCAAATAAGTCAGGTTTGTTGAGCCACTTCAGATAAGCAGCAAAAACTACTCAAGATGACACAGAAAATGAGGGCTGGGTCTAGAAACTGGATTCCCCGACTCCTGGTCCAGGGCTCCTCCCCATCTCATCACCAGGCCCTGCTGCTCCTTAGAATCAATGTGTCTATTGGCTTCTCATGCTGCTTAACACTCATGGGAAGGGGAGGCCAAAGTCTCCTTTTAGAGAGTTCTGTGTACGTGCTACGGGATGACCACAAAGACGACCTTTACCTTCCACAGCGCTAAATATAAAGCAGCCACACAGATAAAAATAGAACACTTGCCAGCCCATGGGTGCCATCATCATCCCCCTTGGCCACGTCCCCACCCTCCCTCCAGAATCAGTGTGGGCAAGAAGTAAACAGAGTAGCAGAGAAGCTCACACCTGGTGGAAGCAACCGTGTCCACTTCTGGCATGTGAACACGCTCACCCTGGCTGGACCACAGGAGCCTAACAGAGCTCCAGGCTCAGCTCTGCCAGCAACTTGCTAGATGACACTGACCAACTACTTAAACTCTCAGCCCTGGTTTCCTCTCCTGTTAAATCAAAATGCTCACTGGATCTATGGCCCACAAACTCTGGTCTGCAAGCTGCAGACAAGGCCTTCCACAGTTCGCAAAAGCCAATCTATTCAATTTAAGACTATGTTGTTCCCACTTCCGAGGTGTGAATGGCCTTTCTTTCAGAGAATGATGTGTGAAGTAGGTAACAGCAGTTGTTTTTCAGGCATTTTAGCAAAGTAAGAAATTAGCACCCTAGGGGAGTCCCCAGATTGTTTCACATGACCAGGAGATCCAAAAGTCTGGGAGCCCTGGAGCCCGTGCTCTCCAACAGGTCTGTGGACTGCCAACACCTGCAGGCCCTGCTGAGATGCTAGAAAATGCAGAACCTCAGCCCTTCCCCAGACCTCCTGGACCCAAACCTACAAGGTAAGACCACTCTGAAGACTCTACACTGATTGAAGTCTGAGGGGCTTTGAGCTGGCGGACCATGCGCCTCTTCCAGTCCTAGTTTTCTGATACAAATCCTCCTTCCCAGACCGATCATAGGTGATTTGTTCTCAGACACACATAATATGAAAGCTCAGGGACGAGGGCAAGGGGCTGTGGAGCACGGCCATCTGTGCCAGGCCGGATCTGGAATACCCCTTTATTTGTATGCAGTTGGGGAGCTGGCCTGGAGAAGGCAGGCTATTGTCACACTATGTCTTAGGACGTCTAGGCAAGAAAAAAAGGGAACCTTTCTACGATGACTAAACTAGAATTCTAGTAGTGGAGTAAAGTTCTCATTCTCTCAGGAGACTTTGCAATAGTTAAGAAATTGTTTTTATGGGTACTGCCTATGAGGCAGAGCAGAGCTGCCAGGCTGTGTAAATTCCAAAGCAAATCCAAAAACACATGACCTAAACCCACTGAAAATCAGTAGTTCAGGGCTGGGCCAATGGGGCCCTTCCATTCTCCTAGACTCTTTCTGCCCCACCTTGTTAGGGAATCTGTCGTTTGCTCTTGATGAGAAGCTGCTTTTAATTCCAAAAAGTGCATGCACTTGTACCCTTTACTGAAGGATGTCTGATTCAGGCTGCATAATGCTGGTTCTTAAACCCAAGGGCGGGACTTGGACAAAAGAGAGAGGCAAGGAGCAAAGGCATTTGGGCAAAGAAGAAGAATCCCCTTGTTCAGGGGAAAAGCGAAAGGGAACCACAGGCCTTTCTGTGCTCAGAGACGTCTCTCACTAGGTGTCACCAGAGGGACCTGGAAGCAGCTGCCGCTACACTTGGCATTTGCCAAAACTCAAGTTGCCTTGGGAATAAATCCCATTTTTAGAGAAACTGCCTTTCTTTCTGGGAACTAACTTGCTTCTGTTTGACTGGATTTTTTCAAAAGATGAGTCATCAAGAAGTTCATAGAGAACCCAAATTTCACTTTGTCCCACAGAACAGTCACTTTCTGGGCAGAGAAAGCCCCTGCCAGGAAGGGGTATGGCCCTACTGACAGGGGGCGGGGATGGGGAGGGGGCCAGGGGGTGGATGGGAGATGGGACACCTTTCACCTTGAAAAAACACAGACTCGTGGATGAAAATTAACGTGGGGGCCAAACACAGCAGAAAAAGTAACATTACTGAAATAACTAAGATTTGAGTGGGAAGATTTTAAGTGAGAGAAAATGTTTCATTCACCTCTTTTCAAGTCTGAAGCAGGAAAAAAGAAACTCTATTTAATATGGAAAACAATAAAAAATAGATTCTAGTCCCATTCTCACCCAAATTAATGCAGAGAGAGATGGGTGGGGAAGGGAGGAAAGCTATTAAATAGGTGAGCAGGTGGTCAAGAAAAGGAAGGATTTGGTACCAAGCTTTGAGCTCTATATAAAATAATTAAACCTCTACTATTCTTTGAAATTCAGAATAAAAAGGCCTTTCTACACTAGGAAACAGCTTGAAAACCTTACACTTCACACTGCAAGGGGCTTTTGAGAAAGGTAAGTTTATTCCTCTACTGAATTCCAAAAAGGAAAATTTAGGATTTGGAGTTATCTTCTGTAATTTTAAGGCAGAAGGGTCAACAAATACAATTATTACCTCAGAGCACTTCTGCTTCACCTAACAAGCCCCTTCAGTGACAGGGAAGAACCAATCAGGAGAAGCATTAAGAGAAACTCTAGAGAACAAACATGAACACCCTCAGCAGAGCTGTACGGGGCCACGCTGTGCAAAGGGCAAATGGCCACATGAACCTCGTGTCCCCAGAGGGTACCCTGAATGAGAGCCAAGGGCAGTAACTGCTGGAGAGAATGCAGGCTAGTGACTCACTATGAACAAGTTCAATAGCCTTTGTTTTAGAGGTATAAAACACCTGTTATAGATTAGAAAGGTTTCCATCCACTGCTTTCCTGAAATTTTGCTTTCTAGAAAATTTATAATGTCAAAGAACTAAATGATGTAGGATGTAGGATACCACTTAAAAGAGTTATTACTATACCTAGATTTTCCAAGAAAAGCTCTGATTAGAATTCTCATGAAGAGGAATTAGGGGGCACAGAGTTTTTCCTTTCTTTTCAGTGCTTTTGTGTGGAACATGCGCTGTCATCATCCAACACGTGGAACAGACACCTGTCATCCCACATCGGGACCTCTGCCTGCCTGCTGTGATCCACTCTGTGGGTCGTAGGAGTAAGTAAACTGAGGCAGATGGCCTCAGGGAAGGATGGGGTATTTGAAAAAACTTCTGTGGGGTGGCAGAGTTCTTGCCCCGGATGTCACGGAGTAGCTATGCTGATTCCAGTGAGCTTGGGCAGGGAGGTGGGGGGTGGGGAGAGTGTTTCATGTGAGGCTTGCTTACCTCGATTGTGCTGCAAGAGCACAATAGTAGGGTTGACAATTGTCGTAGAGGGGTAGGCAGATGACGGCTTGCTAACTGGTGCAAAGGTTTGGGAATCAGTTCTAACATGTGAGGAAGAAACTTCATTTAGCAGAGGACCTGAATCCTGGAAAGAAAACAAACACTGTAACTAACTTCAAATAGATGAAGCTTAGAGTTAATGTTTTTTAAAAAGAAGAAATTTAAAATTTCACAAAGACCTTAATTATAAAAAGAAATGTAATTAATGAGACATATCATTAATTCCAGTTAGAAGCTTAATCTGGAATACTTGGGCTCTTTGCTGGTATTAGTAAGGGGAGAAAGGCAAGGTCAAGTGTTACTGACAGTCTCAGCAACGTCATTCATTATTTTACCTGGTAATTACTGTGGATCAATCCGGTTACTGAAAAAGCAAATTTCAATCAAAGAAGAATAACATGCAGAACTCATGCAATTCCAAATGTGATCCGAGAATGAGAGCTAGTTTAATTGAGAAGAACCAGGAAAGTTTAGTACACTTGCTTAAAGAAACATGAGACAAGATGAGGACAAGAAGCCACTGATGAAAGAATGGGGAAGAGCTAAGTACAAGTTGGTGCTTAGAAAGCCACTCTTATCCACACCACTGAGCCACCTCACGTATCCAGTCCTACTCTGAGACTTTTTCACTCCAGTATTGATAGGGATCTCTGAAGGAATAACTTGTGGAAATCCTGATTTTAAAAACCTGAGGTCTCTGCCAGAAATACCAATAGAATTATTACTACTAACATAACCTATGGGATGGAATAATGCCAGTCTTTTTAAAGACATAAAAATAAGACCACAAAATGTAGTAAGGATATGTAGACTTTCCTCTATCACAATTTTAATATTGAAAAGTTTCTGTTTTGGAATTTATAGACCCTAAAGCCAGAATGTCATTCTTAAAGTGTTTGAAGAACAAGACTTTGACAGTTACTCTCCAGATAAAAGTGTGGCTCAAAGCAATTAGTATGTTCCATCAGAGATCAACTGCTCTGCAAATGCCTTTAGGACAAGGGCCATGCCTGCCTCTCCTTTCCTCCTGCAGCTAGCATTGTGCCCTGAAGACAGCAGGTGCTCAATAAATGCCACATGAATGACAGGAACTGCTACCAGCAAAGACGTTTCTGAACTGCTTTTGCAGCAGGAGAACACCTGCCCATCAAAAGAGAGGATGTGGGTGTCAGGATTCAGGACAGCTCCTGAGACACTGCAGGGCTTCCTAAAACACACTGGCTTGGTCGGTCCAAATCTTCTGAAAGTACCCTAATATTACAGCTTATAGTTATAAGCAGTCTCTCAGTTTAGTGAATAAAACTTTTTCCAAAGACTCGAGAAGCACAATATGATCTTTTACAAAAGTGCCTCATCTCAATTTTTTCACAGTAAGTTGAAAACAATTGCACTTTCCTAATTTACTTCCAAAGTGATGTAATAAAAATACGTGACATACAAGGGACAACTCTGCCAAAATGCACTCAAGAAACAAACAAAAAACCAGGCATACGGATTCTTTAAAGTAAAAAATGCCTAAGGATCACATGAGCATGAAGTATTTACAAACTTTACTCTGTGGTGCAGTCTTATTTCTAGAACACATAAATGGTGATCAATTAAAAGAACCTGGATCAATCAACATGACTTTCTTCTTCCCTCTTGCTCTCAAATAGCTGCAGATGGAGTAGGTATCAGCCTTTGGCTTGGCCACCATCCAGGAGGGCTCTTGCTCCTGGTAACTCATTCAGTGCAGGAACCCAAGCAGTTTCCTTTCCCCTCTTACTCTTACCTCAGGCCAAACCAGAAGTTATCAGGCTAGCTGAAGCCCTCCCTGGAAGCGTACACCAGGCTGAGCGGCCAGGCTTAAGAAATGAGGACACTGCTCTCACTGATCTGTCCCTGCACACCTGAGACAAACTCAGTATGAAAATCTAGGTCTACACAAGTGATAAATTATAGGGTATATACCAAAAACACTCACAATGATACTAATACACTAAAAACAAGACTCTAGATGCTACTCTAGGGCAACATTCTGGGCCAAACATACTCTCAAAACAAGAGCAGCTGCTAAATTCACCTGTAAGTTGAGCTGGGGTGAGGAGCATGTATCAAGGAACCAACTAGAACTTTCCTCCAGCAAAGCTAGAAGGATACCTAAGCCCCAGGGCCCTGCGTGGCTGGCTCCCAGCTTAATTGCCTTGTGCTGCATCAAGAGATGTGAGAAGAGGTCTCAGCCCAAGCTGCAGCCATTCCCAGCTTTGCTGTGCCCGGTATTTGACTGCAAATTCTCTTACAAACCAAAAAAAGTTTCCTTCCTGCTTTCTGCAGGACCAGCTTCCGCTGAATGAGCCATCTGAGCCAGTTTTGTAAGCATTCCTCTTTACACAAGGGACGTCAGTGCACTATTAGTTCCATCAGCCAATTGCATGACCCGCTAGATTACTGTATCTCAAAATGTGGCCCAAGGACCCTCAGCACCAGAATCCCCCATAGATGTGTGTCATCAAGTCTGAGCCCTAGGCCATGCCCCAGACCCATTCACTCAGAAACTCTAGGATAACCCAGAGCTAACCACACCTCCCTACTGTAAGGTTCCCATGTATACTACACTTGAGAACTGGTTGATATGCTACCAAAAACCCCTTCAGGAACAAGGTAGTACCCCCAGAACCTAGCAGCATGCCTAGAACATGGTAGGAACTCACCGATCAACTATTAGCCAGTTACTTATTACTGAGGGACTTCCTGCCCCTCTTTGCTAGGGCAAGTTCTCAGCAACATAGGTAATATTTATGTGGGCCTCTCTGTGCCAAGCACGATAACAGGAACTTCTAAAAACTCAGTCCCACCGTACCCTACAGCCCTGTGAGCAGACTCATGCATCCCCACTTCACAACTCACACCGAGGTTCTTAGAGAGTCTCTGGATCCCCAGGGCTCCTGGGGAGAGACCAGCCCAAATACTTTGACTCAGCTTTTTCTCCAAAGCCCTTGAGCTTCCCACCTGTGACAGAGCCTCATGCCTCACAAGGTGGGACCTCAGCAGTCAGGGCCCTTGAGGCTTCAATGACCACTGGGGCACTCTTGTGCCACAAATGCCCCGAGAGCCAATACTTAGGGGCAGCAGAAATTTTCTGCCTTTTGAGGAAACAGTCCTACCATTTGCACAAGGTCTTTATACCCATTTGTTCACTTAAACTCAACTCTCTCATTCTCTTGTGTCGGACCCAGTCTCTGCCATTGCTGCATATAAAAAAGTGTGTTTACATACTAGGTCAACAAAGAGTGACTTTTTGTCCCCTAGAATCTCACTGCTCCCAGGTGGAGAAAATACTGTTGGCTTTTCCACATAAATTCTTCAGCCTTCCTCAGCTCTCAACGTTATATCTGCCTGGCCTGGGAAGAGGATATCTAGCTAAAGGAAAGGCCACAGAGGTTTTCTTTGTGGGAAAACAAAGTTCTTTAACAAAGATGTACATTCCAAACAGGACAGAGAGGAACAGGGACTTGAGACCCCGGGACACACACGGGAGGCATGCACTCCAGTGAAAGCAAACACGGTTCCCATCGCCACGCAAGCACAGTGGCAGCCAACACTTCCCTCAGAACTTAGTACTTCAGTGAGAAAGGGGTTTTTTACTGCCAGGAGCAGACGTTCAGGACAGCCGTGAGGAGGGGATTCCGGCAAGCTTACGGTACTTGGAACAGCTCCCGTGAGGTCAGGCTCCGAGACTCTGCGGAGGCCCTCCGGTCCTGGAGGGACCAGCGGAGGCGGTGGTGAGAAGGATGGTGGTGTCTGGCTAACGGGGGGACGGGGGCCAGGAGCACTGGCTGGCTGGCCGTGGTGGGACCGCCTCTGCAGATGAGGGGGAATGAAATCATCTAGAGTCGGGAAGGTCAGAGGTGAGCTGGCAGAGGTGGGCGCCGGGGCTGGGGGGCCAAGCGGCCCCAGAGATGCTGGAGGTCTGGCAGTGCCTTCTTGCCCTCTGTCGGTATTAACCATGTAGAGAGGGACAACTATTACCTCGGGCTGGGCTGGGCCGGAGGAAGTAGCATCCTGTAGGAAATAAGGGGGTCGTTACGTAAAGGGGTACGGCAGGGAAGAAGGAATTCCATATTTAAACAGTTGAGAGTGGACATGCAGTGATGTACTCTGAGAAATATTTAATCGGTGCCCTTTCCTCAGAGTACATGACAGTCAGTGCTGGCCAGCTGGCCTCCTGACACTCTATGACACAGAGGGAACCCCATCCAAGTTTACTTTCCATCCATCTATTTTTGAATCCTTTTAACACTTCAGAGGGAGAGAAAGAACAACAGAACAGGCAGGCAGGCAGGCTGTGTTTAACCCCCAAACTGCTTGCAGAGCCTAAAGCTTGAGAGTAAAAACAGTTTCTTTGGCATCTTAGGATACAACATAAACACTGTATTTCACCATATCACTCATCGGTGGATTCCACCCTCCAGCATACTTACATATATACGGACAAGAGAGAGACACAGAGAGGACTGTGCTGAGATGTTTAGAGAGGAAAATTCGGGATTCAAGCTGCTGCAGTATTAACGAGGAAAGGGAAGGTAGGGCAGCCCAGAAGACAAAGGAGCTGCTTGCACAAGTTTCAAAAGAGACGGTGTAGAGACACACAAACATTCCTAATTCCTTGCCTTGGCTGGATAACACGGCTGCAAAAGGTAAGGCTCTTTTCTCCTCCGGTTTTCGGGATCAGAGGTAACCTGGGGGCCTAGCACAGGTGGTCTCACTGCGCCTGAGAACGAAGGCCGAGTCCCCAGGGAAGGACTCTCGCCACGGTAAACGGCATCTTTTCGGGTGTCAGAGAATAGCTTGGGAGGGTCAGGAGGAGGAGCAGAGGGTGGCTTTCCTGTGCCAGCTGTGCGGGAGGCAATGCTAGGAGCTGGTGCTCGCGTGCCCGCAGCTTCTGAGGGAACGCCTTTGGCTGGGCCACGTGCAGCGCAAGAGGCGTTTTCCAATGCTACCCGGCAAATGTTATTGGATAAACAAGGTACGTATAAGCTGCTGACCTTCTTATTCCCAACTGCTTCATGACGTGGGTTAGAGCTCACATTCTCACTAGGAACTGTCCTGCTGGCTACACAGTGGCGCTGGGGTTGGGATGAAGCACTGGGGTGCATGGAACCTGGAGGCAAGGACCCAGGATGCACTGCACCTTTGGGAGTTGATCTGGCTGCCAGGGAGACAGAGACGCGCCAGGGTGGTGAGGGGTTCTGCTGGCTGGGGGTGCCAGGCAGGACGTAAGGCTTTGGTGAGCTCATGTAGAGGGAGTCCTTGTTGGTACTATGGGTGGTGGGGGGCTGCCATGCAAAGCGGTTCTCTTTAGGGAGAGGAAGGTGTAGGGGAGAGAGAACCTTCTGCCGTGTTTTCAAAACACAGTATTAAAATGGAGAAAAGAGAAAGAGGGGAAACGGAAAGAAGGACGACCATTAGAAATAGCAGCATAACATGATGTGAAGAAAAAACAATTCTTGACATATTTTTAAGCAAATCCTCAGCTTAGACTCCTCACTGTCCCATTTCTCTTCTGGGTAAAGCCAAGGACTAAATCATACTCACCAGGATAGGCAGGCCTCACTCTCTTCCATCTCAGGGAAGCTGAACTCAGCCCAGGAGAGGCCAAGGGCTAAGTCAGTTTGATACGAATCCTTGGTGACCTGCGCACTTTAGACTTCCTGACTGAGGAAGGGGGCTGCTCAAGGGCTGAAAGAAGTGGAAGAGGACCCGAAGCCCCCCATCTTCTTGTATCTCCTTTCCTCAAAGATCTCTCTCTTTGTGCCTTTAGCTTTAAAAGTTTACTGAAACTCTTGAGTCTTTCATTTTTTCCCTTAGGAAATGGAGAAGCGGAAGGGTCATCCTTATCTGTGATCACAAGGGGGGGATGTCTTAATCACTGAGATTTAGCACTCAGTTCCAGAAGCAAAACAAATTAAAGCTCACCAAGAAGAGAAGGCTAAGGACTTAGAATCCATGTGTGCTCTTCACTCAGAGAAAACAATTTGATGGAACTAATTATTAGAAGGAAGACAGGAGTGAGATTAAAAGCATTAGTCTACCATTTTTGATGCTCACAGAACACAAAGGGTCCAGGCAATGAAGGATTTGATTGGCACTTGGGATTGGACTGTGGTTGGTTTATTAAATTCCAGCCCCTTGCCCATTCCCATCCAGCCCACCAGCAGGCGCAGACAATCCTAGAGTGGGGTGATCAGTGCCAGGCTACGGACTTCAGCCACAGTTCCAGGCTCAGAGCTACAGAGCTGTAGTTCTCATCTCATTCCCCTCCCTCAAACACAGCTCCTAGCTCCTCCTTGGGTCTCAGTGGGGCAGAGAATCAAGAAATGGGGTTAATCTCCAGAATGATCCTCATTTCAATGAGAGCCATGTGTCAAAACCTGTGGATCAACAGGATGAGGGAAGTTTATTTTCCTAGTGTTGGAGCCAGAATATGTGTGTCCCCTAAAATTCATATGTTGAACCCCTAACCCCGAGTGATGGTTGTAGGTGGGGTCTGTGAGAGGTAATTAAGGTTAGATGCAGTCACGAGGGTGGAGGTTGGGCCTATTTACAGACTAAACAATGCTCTCTACAAACAAAACACTTGAACTAGCATGCACCAAAGAGACTGCCAGTTAAGTTGGTAATAGTTGTCAATTTTGAGTTAGGCTCAGACTTACTTTGAGCTCAAATGTCCCACATGTGATTCCTTCTTGTCCAAGGATAGAAATCAGTTTCAATGAGTTCTTTGAACTTAATGTGGCTGTGGCACATATGGTGCCAGGGCTGCATGCATCAGCCACAAGCCTTCCCAGGGCTTTGACCCTGTAGAGAAGACGCTTCCCTGAGTGTTGACAATGCACTCAGAGCCAAAGGCATTCCTGTCCTGAGGCTTCATGCAGCCCCAAAGAAGGAGGGGGACAGGCACAGTCACTTTACACAGAAGGAACTGCTTTCTGATTTACTGTACACATTGCAGGAACTACATATGCAGTTTGCATTCCTCCCTACTGGGCTCCTAATGAAATTCCACTTATCTTTATTAGGAGGTGGGGCAGTGGAAAATAGGGTTGTTGAAGAATCTGATATATTCCTAATTTGTAGAGTTCCAGAAACTACCACTTCCCCTGCAGTCCACCATGATGGTGCTGTCAGAAGGAAAGGCAGCCTATGGGAGCATCAGCAGACAGGATCCACTCTGGCCAGTAAGTCCCCTGGACCCAACTGAGTCCTTCTGGGGAGATGCAGGCCTGCAGGGGTCTGAGCTGTCTTCATCAGAAACCAAGCCAGGGCAGCCATCAGCCTGGCCCACCTTGGCTTCATCCAAGCCAGTGTATACATACAGCTCTGGCAATGGCTATATGAACAAGAAGCCATTTTTTTCATTCAGAAAACAAATCCAATAGGTAATGTATGGTCCTTGCAAACTGGATGGCCAATTTTACATTGAATATACAGAATAAAACCTCAGGTCAGCAATTTATTAGATTCCCTTCAAGATATCCCAGTAAAAAGAAAATTCTTGCATAGTGACAAATGAGAAAATACACTATTCATATGCAATATTAGAGGATGTCCACCCTTATTATAAGGCTTACCCTGATGAGCTCTTTGAAGGCCATGATGAACACAGTGGTCTGAACACAACAAATGCTTAATAAAGATGTGGTAAAGAAATGCATTTAAAAGGAATTTGTATTTCCTTCACATACTTTTAAAATTATCTCTTTAGAAGAGCTGTTTAAGAAGCCAAAAGGAATCAGGGCATTACCCTCTGGCACAGTACTGATAGCAGAAGATACACTTCTACACCTGCCTTGATTAATCCATGCTAGTTCCAAATGGGGAGAAAGCCAACTGAACTCATTCTTGAGACAGCTGAGAAGGAAGCATGTCTGCTGTAAGAGCACACTTATCCATCAGGAAAGGTCTTATAAATGGAAAAACTATAGCAAGTCATTTACTGGACAACTGACCTCCCAGGTTCCCATGTCTAATGAGGACTTCAGGAGGCCAGGCGCATTTGCAGCTCCTGGTTCTCAGTGGGGGCCCTGTACGCACATGGCTGTACCCAAGGGAGGCAAGCTACAGTGGGGGGGGAAAGGCTCAGTGGTGCTGCTCAGCATGCAAGGCAGACGATCCAGCGGCCACCTCCAAGCCTGGGGAGACGGGGGTCTGCAGAGAGGAAGGAAGATGTCATCTCTGGCCCAGCTTCATTTCAGGGACCAGGGCACTTTTATGTCCTCAGGAGCCAAGGATCACCAGAAAGCGGGTGGGAACCAGGAAGGCACACGGAATACCCGGCTCCTCCTGAGTTCTGGGAGCACCTTCATAGAAGGCAGGCATAGGGAAGTGCACCACCCAGGAACGCATTTCTGTCATGGTGTCTGAGCAGCACAGCTTCCTTTAAGAGAAAGGCCTGCTCCATTCCACGGATGGTACTCCTCTGTGTGAAAACACTCTTCACAGACTGCCTGAATTAAAACAGGGTGTGTCCCTTTATCAAAACAGCAAGGTAACAACAGTGAGAGGAAGAAAGAAAGATCAGGAAAACAACCTGGAGGAAAGACTTAAGTAGAATTATCCCTACTCCAACTTGAACAACTTCAGGAATTTTCTTCTGCAGGGCAGAGCTCGGAGGGCCAAGCTCCATGGCAGTGCCCTCTGACTTCTGTCTGCTTGCTCCTGGGCGGCTGGACTAGGGTTTGGCTACAGCACCTCATCTGAATCGTAAGGATGGAGTTGGAATTCTTAAAGCCCCAATTCTCACAAATGAGTAGAATAAACACAAGTGTGCACTCTTCTCTTGAACATTATACTCTAAAGAGTTTTTAGCGAACAGGCTGACACCTTTCCCCCTAGTTATTCTAGGCTAAGTGGTTTCTGTCAGAACAGTTCCACATACATTTCAAACCTAGAAGACACTCTGTGGCTTATAGTTCTAACATCCTGGTACACACCAAACTTGTCCCATGCCTGCGCTCCCTTGGTCCCCAGCTGTTCACTGACTCTGATCCTTGCAGAGCTTCTCCAGAGTCGGCCACAAGCACGACTCAGAACCTGGTCCATTACCAACTGGGTAAGCAGGAAGTCCATGTGTAAGCTAAACTACTCCAACCAGTATGACTCCCAGCCCCCACCCCGACCTGGGCAAGTGCCTACCTGCGGCTTGTCAGAAGGAAGACTGGGATGCACACTTCTGTAGCCCTTGGCAGCGAGCGAAGAGGGCTGGGCATTTCCATTGGCATCAGCCTTGGAAGAGAGCCTCCACTCATCTGAGAGAAAGGAAGGAAAAAAAAAGAAACCCCTCACTCAGTGGGAACATCCCCTGGCTTCCTTCTAATTTAAAAGTCCTGGTGGAAGGCAGGAACAGAAAGAATCCAAGGGAAACTGTACCTGCTGAGGAATTCTCAGACTCCAGACCTACATGTGGTGCAGAAAGGATGAAGGCAAGAAGCAAATGGGAAACAGAAATGGTTACATTTGCAGGAAGCAAGCATGTACTGCAGAAGAGATGAAAACCCGGCACCCTGTTGTCTGACACAAAATGCCCTCAGTCACGATGGCCTGATTACCATAGGAACCCACTCTAAATCATGATGTGCTCACAAGCGCTGACCTTTGCAGACACAAGGCTCACATTCACAGGAATGAAGAAACAATTGTTCCTTGACATTCTTATTTTACAGACAAAAAGGCAACAGAACACTCTGTTGTCCGTCCCTACTAACTCTCATTTGCTTTTTCAGTCCAGATGGGGACTTGGAAGGACCTCTCCTCATTAGTAGGCCGGGCTATTTGGCAGACCTTGGGGAGGGAGCAGATGAGCACTTTGTCTGTGGCCGCTGGTGCTGGGCTAGGGGGAGAACATGAATTAAGCCCAGAGGTATCTGCTGTGACAAGGACTTTTTTCTCCCTGCCTGCTTTTCTTTTTTCCATTAAACGAGCCATATAAACATTTCAAAATCTAACCATCCCTTCTGAGTTTTCAACGCACTGTAAGGCAGCCTTGTCTCCCATCAGCTAGCTACCACCCTGTCCTGCTAGCCATCTCCCAACACATGTCAAGGACCCTAAACCTCTCCTAATTTGACCCACCTAGCACCACAAGGCACTGGACCTCAATTCAGATCCTGGCCCTACGACCAGTGAGCTCTTGTGACACTGGGCAAGTTATAAACCTCATTTTACCCATCAGAAAAATGGGCATAATGATATGCCTGCTTCATAAGTACTGTTATAAGAACTAAATGATATGATGCATGAGAAATGCTTAACACAGTGCCTAGCAGAGCTCAGTAAATGCCTGCTGTTTGTCAGCTTCTGCATCACCTCTTGTCTCTATTCTCCACTTAGCCCAGGGTTCGGCAAACTTTTTCTATAAAGGGCCAGACAGCAAATATTTCAGGCTTTGTGGGCCATGGAGTCACAGTTCAACTATTCAACTCTGCTGCTGTAGCACCACAGAAGCCACAGGTAATATACAAATGAGCAAGCATGGCTGTGTTCCAATAAACCTTTATTTAGACATTGAAATTTTAATTTCATACAATTTCCATGTGGCATATAATACTATTGCTTAGATTTTTCTTTCAGCCATTAGAAAATATAAAGACAGTTCTTAGTTAATGTGCTTTACAAAAATAAACATGGGCCACATTTGGCCCACAGGCCATAGTCTGCTAACCCTGATCGAGCCAATCCCTTAACTTCCTTCTTCTCTGGCTGCCTGCTCTTATCTCACCCTATCCAGAGATACAGAAAGGACTCACAGGGCAGCTCTCACTGCCCAAAACTCCATTTCAGTGTGGGTCCCTCAAAGACCAGAGATGGACTTTCCAATATCAAGTTGAGATTGACAAAAATTTACTGAACATCTACCTGCCAGACACTGTTAGTCACTTTTGTACCTAGTTAGCATTTAACTTAGTACACAACAAGTCTGTGAGGTCATGGACAAAGAGAGGCCAACTGACTTGCCCAAAGCCACAAAATTTGGAAATGACAAAGCAGTGAGCCCAGGTCTCCAGAACCAAGCACAGCACTCCGTCTGCCACCCACAGCCACCAACCCCATCACCAGCCACAAGGGAACACCTACATTCCAGTGGGAGGTGGTGGGAGCCAGAAGTGATTCTGAGTGATCTGCATCCATGCATAGCAGTTCAGCTGCACCAGAATCACTGGGAAGCTGGTTAAAACACAGATTGCTGGGGCCCACCCCTAGAGACTCCAACTCAGTAGATGGCGGGGAAGGCCTGAGAGTGTGCACTGTCAACAGGACTCTACGTGGTACCAGGGCTGCTGGCCCGCATTGAGAACCTGATATAAGGAATACTCAAAAACATCCTTATTCTGGAAAACAACCCATTTTTGTGTATTTATTTTCCCCTCTAAGAGTTTTTATAACATATTTCAGTTGTATATTCCTTTAGCTTATTGCCTGTTCTTTCTGCTACCCCCCTACACACAATTCATGTATTGTTGTCTCTTCCCAGGTACCTCACTGAGAAATTTGCAGGATTTTTACTCATGTCACTGCAATGCACTGGCTTGTGTGACTAAGTGTTATTAATCACTCTAAACTTCATTTTTTTTCACCTATACAATATAATCTTTACCTCACGTTACCTCACCAGGTTGCTGAAGATCAGATCAGGTATCTGAAGTATCCTCAATGTGACCATTGTTAAAACTCACTGCTGCATCCGTCCAGACCCTGGCCCAGAGATTCCCTTGTACCTGGCAGGCCCTCAAATACTAGATGACACATGTGACACTGGTTCTCCCTCCTCCCCTACATCCATCACACTTTTACTGTCCCATCTTCCTAAATTATTCCCTGTTGACCTTTGTCAAGGCACTCTATCAAATTGATTAGAGTTACACATACACTGACTATCAATAGGTACTTGAGAGAGGGGCTACCCAATGAAGGATGTGAGCTTGAACATGGATTTGGGGGTGCATTGTCTTGCCTGTTCTTTGGTTCTTGGTTCAATTTGTTCTATTTAGGTGACACTACCAGATGTACTGTGGGAAGCTGAAATGAATCTGTCCCTCCAGAGCTCTTGGTACCATAGAAGGACTACCATTTTGGCATCAAACTACCTAGTTTGAGCCCTTGCTAAGTGCACATCTTGCAGTAAATGACTTAGCGTCACCTGTGAAATGAGATATTATCTACCTATTACCTATCTCTTTTGAGTCATGAGGACTAAGAAGAAGTATCTGGCATAAAGTAAAATTGGAATCCATGGCATAAGGAAAAAAATTTACCCAGACACAGAAATAAATTAGGGTTGTTGACTTCTGCCATTTGATAGTTTCAAGAAGATAATATCCTTGGGGAATTAACCACTTTCTCTTCTCATTCCAAGTCATTAAAACTGTTCCCCTTACCTTGCCCCAAAAAAGGCAATTCCTAGGATCTCTCTAATTAGAGAGATAGAAGAGAATATTCCTGTCTTCCACATTAAAAGAGAGCCGTATTCCTGACATTTTTATCATTCTTCATCTGTTACCTAGTCTCGTGAACCTTGAAGGTTATAGCAGCCCAGGGCCACTGTGCCTGAGGGTAGCAGGTGAAAGTTCATATATATAGTCATCAATGATTAACTCTCAGTTGAGGAGACTGTCAAAATGCTTCTTCCAATAAATACTACCTCAGAGCTCCTGAGAGGGGAGGAAGGCCTTGGTAAGCTGAATCTAGATAGGTTTCACAGCTCTGAAGAGGAAGAGATTTTCCATGAGAAGGAAAAATTATTCTGCCTTATCTTTTCTTCCATCTGTTCTTTATATACAATCTTTTCTGGCCTGTGGCCACAGCCTCCTGATACCATCTTTTATCTCATTCTGTGCTAATGTCTGTTCTAAAGTTGTTTAGCTGAATAGTTCTTCTTGGGCTCTTAGGATAACTTTCATTAAGTCACATTTTGATGTGTTCTGGAAGAGAACACAAGAGTTAGATGACAGGTGTTAAAAGTGGGTCTAAAAGTATTTCAAATCTCTTTGTGTTTATTTTGCATTCATGTTGTGTGGTAAAGAATTTAACCATACCCAAAAAGAGGTCTAGTCTTTGCCCTCTGGCTTCTGGGAGTTAGTCTCTAAGCCCTCAGAACATCATCCTGATAGGAGTGGCTTTGTGCTAGATCAATAATTTGACTTAGGGCAAGGACTCTGAACCATTATGAGCTCAGTCTCTTACCAGACTGGAGAGTGGGATCAGTCACACGGACAGTGGATAATGCCCACGTAATAGAGTCCCAGTAAAAACTTTGGACACAAACGCTCATGGGAACCTCCTGGTTGGCAATATTCTGAGCATATACTGTTGCACCTCTGTGCTGGGAACTAACACATCCTGACTCCGCAGGAGAGGACAACAGAAGCCCCACGCCTCATTCTTCTCCAGACTCAACCCTATGTGCTTCTCTTCACTGATTTTAATCTGTATCTTCTTCCTGTAATAAAACCATAACCACAAGTAAAATAGCTTTCTGTGAGTTCTTTGGGTCCTTCTAGGAAATTACCAAACCAGAGGGTGGTTTTGGGATCCCGTAAACTTGGTATCGTTAAGTTATTCTTATGTGAGGACTGTCCCCTCAACTTCTCAGATGGCCCTCATTTTCATACAAGCACCTGTAAGAAGGACTGAGTCAATAGGGGTAGGGAGTGTCTTTAACTGTTTCAATGTCCATTTTCTTATAACTTTTTGCTACTTGCATTTCTGGAGAGCAAATGTGAGAGTGAAACCAGAGGTAATGAGCTGATGGTAGACCCAAGAATCTTTACATCCAAAGCTGACATAGTCAAGAAGCAGTCAGGAAGGGCCAAAGCCAACTGGCACAGAGTTAACAAAAGATGAGGGTTGAACTAGATTTTGGCTTGTAAGTCAGAACACAGGTATTGATGGTCTTCAGGCCGTACCAGACAGGAAGCTTGGTATCATGTCTAACAACCTCTTCCTCTGTTTCCTTTTGAGTAGGAACACCCTGACCTGGGGACACAGGTAGAGTCACTCTTAACTAAGGGTGCCAACATGCAGTCTTGGCCAGGCAGTGATACCAGGAAGTAAGGATGAGGTATGCCTATCCCAGGGGCAGAGAGTTCAACCCTAATATCACTGCAGTTCTTTCCAGATGTTCTGATCCAAAAACCAAGATCCACATTCAGAGATTAGGAAGATGGTCAGGGAGCCATGGATAGGAATACAGAGTAAGCTACCCCTGAAGGCAGGCATCTAGAGGGTGGGTTTGCTCTGGGCAACTCCATGAGTCCCATCTGTCACTCTACCTCAGACAGCAGCTGCTTCATCCTCTTGATGTTCCTCTGGATGCAAATGGCTCCCAAATCCACACCCAGACTCCAAATTTTTTTTTAACATTAAAAAATTTTTGGTATCATTAATATACAATCACATGAGCAACACTGTGGTTACTAGATTCCCCCCATTATCAAGTCCCCACCACATACCCCATTATAGTCACTGTCCCCATCAGTGTAGAAAGATGCTATAGAGTCACTACTTGTCTTCTCTGTGCTATACTGCCTTCCCCGTGCCCCCGCTATGTTATGTGTGCTAATTGTAATGCCCCTAATCCCTCCCCAGTCCCTTTCCCTTTGGGAACTGTTAGTCCATTCTTGGGTTCTGTGAGGCTGCTGCTGTTTTGTGCCTTCAGTTTTTCCTTTGTTCTTATACTCCACTTATATCTTTTTACTACTTGCATTTCTGGAGAGAAAATGTGAGAGTGAAATCATTTGGTACTTGTCTTTCTCTGCCTGGCTTATTTAACTGAGCATAAGACCCTCTAGCTCCATCTATGTTGTTGCAAATGGTAGGATTTGTTTTCTTCTTATGGCTGAATAATATTCCATTGTGCATATGTACCACATCTTCTTTAACCATTCATCTACTGATGGACACTTAGGTTGCTTCCATTTCTTGGCTATTGTAAGAAGTGCCGCGATAAACATAGAGGTGCATATGTCTTTTTCAAACTGGGATCCTGCATTCTTAGGGTAAATTCCTAGGAGTGGAATTCCTGGGTCAAAGGGTATTTCTGTTTTTAGTTTTTTGAGGAACCTCCATACTGCTTTCCACAATGGTTGAACTAGTTTACATTCTCACCAGCAGTGCAGGAGGGGTCCCCTTTCTCCACATCCTCGCCAGCATTTGTTGTTCCTAGTCTTTTCTATGTTGGCTAACCTAACTGGTGTGAGGTGATATCTCAGTGTGGTTTTAATTTGCATTTCTCTGATAATTAGCGATGTGGAGCATCTTTTCATGTGTCTGTTGGCCATCTGAATTTCTTCTTTGGAGAACTGTCTGCTCATATCCTCCGCCCATTTTTTAATAGGGTCATTTGCTTTTTGGGTGTTGAGGTGTATGAGTTCTTTATATATTTTGGATGTTAATCCCTTGTTGGATATGTCATTTACAAATATATTCTCCCATACTGTGTATAGCAACGCAACAGATTTCTGTGTATTAATTTTGTATCCTGCAACTTTGCTGAATTCATATATTAGATCTAGTAGTTTTGAAGTGGATTCTTTACAGACTCCAAATTTTCAAACACCTATTACAAACTTGCTCCTAGACGCCATTCCCTTGTAATCTCAGTATGTCAGAAAATGGAATTCAACATTAATCCACACCCTTCACTAGCAGAATCCCTCTCACTGAGGAAAAATCCAAGATTGTGCACCATGGCAGGTATAAAGGAACAAGCTGGGTTTGAGTAGAGGGAAATAATACCCATACTGATTAATAAATAGTATCCCCTTCACAAATCTACAGGTTCCATGAATGCCACAATTACTCTCCTAGTCAACCACAGAAGGACCTCCTGGTGGGCACAGAGTGCTATTTCTCTGTGCTCTGTAAACACATGCATCAAGACCTGTCATTTCATTCTTCCAGATACACTTCTGCTCTTGACCCTGCTCTTCATTCCTACTACCACCATGCTGGGCCCAGGTCCTATGGCCTCTAACTGGAATTACTGCAAATCTTTAATAGGCCTCCTGATCTGCGTAACTAGAATGGTTACTATTAAAGAACACCTGCTGCATACCTGGCTCTGTGCAAAATCTTGATATGAAGAGCTCACTGAATCCAAACAACTTTATTAAGATCATCCCCCTTCTTACAGATGGGAAACTGCAAGGATGAGTACTTTGCTCACATCCCAAAGATAGGCAGTGGCAGAGCTGAGCCTCAATAGAGGACTATGTGACTGAAAAACTAGATCATCTCTCACAGGTTGAAGGAGTTGAAGCAAGGATTGGAAATAAGGCACACCTTGAAACGTGGGCATCAAGGGTCATGTAAGGAAGGAACAGGACACAGGCACTGGGCAGTGGTCTAAGACTGGGGCTTCCAGGCAAGGCAAATGATCAGCAACTTGCAGACCTACAGAGAAGAAAGAGAGCAAAGCAGAGAGGAGGCAGGCAGAGGAGTTGGGTGACAGATGCTGGCCCTGGCAATAAGGGAAGGAGCCAAGCCCTACCTGACATTAGCTACCTGCAAAGGCACTGGAGTAGGAAGCATGCCCACCCCTTGGCAAGAGCCACTCACTGCCTCACACATGGGATCCCAGGCTAGATGAGCCTGGCTGCCTGCAAATGCTGCTGAAAACTGTTTTCATGAGACCTGTCAAGGCCCATGGACTCCCAGGCCCTGGGACAGAACTGGTAACTGGTTGGGCCACCAGGTTGTCATGTAGAGGCCCAGATGGATGGAGGAAGCAGGAATGAGAAGAGGGCTAGGGAGCCACAGAGAGCCAGAGACAAGAGCCAGCAGATGGCTGGCCAATGAGCAGCAGAGTAAGAATACAAGATACTCAGCCCTGAAGGTCCCCTCTCTAGAGTCACATCCTTTTTTAACTTCATCCCCAGCGTAAACTCATTCCAGCCTGTTTGGTACTATTACTTGGTTTGGGTATTTTTTCCCTCTATTCAAAGTTGGCTTGCTCTTTTCCCCTAAACTGCCCTGATGTGCAATCGTGAATTTGTCCTCAATGAATGGGATTCTGTTTGTGTCAGCTTAATTCCCAAACTCCCCAAGGTCACAGAGCATTTGAGAACTAGAAAGGCTTGGAAACCACCTTGCCCAAGTCTTTCTTTCTTTATATGGGTTTCATAGGTACGACCTACTTACAGCTGGAAAGCACGGCAGAGGACTAGAGGTCCACACCCGACTTCTGTCGCAGCAGACTGTCTTTGTCCTCACCTGATGCACCCAAATTTACCCTCCCTTTTCCTCTCTTCTCCCCATTGCTCATCACACTTCCCAGTGACTGGCACACAGATGATGCTAAATGAATGTCTGCTGACTTGGGACTCAATGATCTCAACTTACCAGCAGGGAAATAATCTACTGAAATTAATTTACTTAAGGCATGAATGAGTGATAGCTATCCCCTAATTCTTCAGAGTATTTGCACTTTAAAACAAGATCTTCTTTCATCCAAATCAGCTGTCAGAAATTCCTAAGATACAGAATTGTTGGAGGCCTAGAATTTCCAAAAGCGCTCCCATCACTGCATCACTGTACATGCACACCTATGGCAAGGTGAACAGCATCAACTCCATTCTATGTTACTGTCACACTGTAGCCAGCAGGGGGAGCTCAAGGCACCTCTCCTCACGTTCACCTCCAGAGAAAGGGCCTGGTGATGGATAAGGTCATTATATTGGGCCACGAGGCTATATAGGTCCAGTGTTTCTCTCTCAGTCATCCCTTAGGATTATCTTTCTCAAACATAGGATTGGGAGTTGGATCATCCCAGCTAGGCCTGGAAAGGCTGGATTAGGGCAGTCTTAGGAAGAAATCATTTTGACTGTCCTGGCCCCACCTTTCCTGGAGTGGCAAAGTACAGTGGGGCAAGAGTCAGGTGTGGGCTTAGGAAGACAGGACCAAGAAGCTACTTTCAACTTGTAGGGCTGGAGGCCACACATGTCTTTCCTGAGCCTCGGGAAAGAGAAACCTTCCACAGGTACAAACATTACCGGAACAGGGCCTGTGCTCAAACCCTAGCCTGGTTTTCAGCTGTGGGCATCTGCCTTGGCACCAGTTACAGGAGGCTGGGACAGGAACGAAGTCCGCTTCCAGGATGCTGGGCACAGACCATCTCCATCCTATATGATTCTATCGCACTGCACCGCAGTCTGTGCCCTCCTTCCTTTCCTCTCTCGTCCTAAAGGGTGGGTGTCATGCCGGTGCCTTTCCCCCCATTGTTACCTGTGAGACAGACAGAAAACTCCCACCCCCACAGCAGCAGCTCTCAACTGTGGTTCCTGGACCAGCAGCATCAGTACGACAAGGGGAATTGTCAGAAACCTCGACCTTCAAGAGGAAACCATAAATTCTGTGGCCTGGGGCCCAGTTACCTGTTTTTCCTCCAGATGATTCTGACGCAGCTCAGGTGTGGGAAGCCCTCCCTGCAGAGGGCAGAGAACTGTGGAACCATGGAGCCTCAAAGTCAGTGTTCCCCAACTCCCAGAACACTTGCACCATGGAAAACCCTCTCCAGAGAGGCCAAAATACTCCCCATCAGCCTACTAACAGCAGCCCATCTCTAGCCACTCATTCCAGGCCACCAGGCAATGAGCAAACACTTCACAGACTTCACCCTCACAACAGTGCTACGAGGTAGGTGCACCATCAACCCCATTCGACCACGAGGCCACTAGGGTTGAGGGAGTAAAAACCTTGTCCATAGTTGCACTGCCAGTAGGTGCTGGACCAGGAAGTGAACACAGATTGAATGTGTCCTAAAGTCCCAGCTTAAACCTCAATACCACATTCTAAACACCCATGTTTCCAGAGTGGCTCATGAAAGTAGGAGGTGGGCTTCAGATGGGGTTCTTTTGTCTCCCTTTGCTCCTAGTTTGCTCCGGCCTCAGCACTGCTCTTCTGATCCTGCTCCACCAGCCACCAGGTCTGAGCCCAGCCCCACCTCTGCTTTGCTGGGAGCTCATCAGCCAGCCACCTGCACTTCTTCCCCAGACCAGTCCTACCTGGCCGGTCACAGCCAAGCTCCCAAAAGTGGCAATGGGCTCAGAGAAACCTAACCTCTAACCCACTGCCCCACTCCCTCCCAGGCCCCTAAGCCATTGCTGTGCACACAGATGCTGTCAAGAGAACCCCCAGTTCTGTAACAGGCTTTTAGCTCAGCTGTTTGGTCAAAAGCTAAAACAAAGTGGTGGCCACTGCTGTGTCTCTACCCTGTTAGTTCAGGGTTACTGATCACCACCTATCACACAGGGACAAGGAGCTGACTGTCCCAGCAGCTAGAGAATCAGGACGCAGCTGGTGAATTCACTCCCTTCTGAACAAAAAGCACAAGGGGCTGCCTCCCTTCCAACATGGCTTGAGCCCTCCCCCAAGCCCCAGGGGAAGCATACCTGGCTTCCTTTCAGGTTCTGGGGTATCCTGAGGGCTCGTGGGGCTACTGCTCAGGATTCCCCTGGAGGAGGATGAGGCCCGGAGAGTCACAGCTCCTTTTCCAGTGCAGATTTTTGTAGGATCCATGTCTGAAAAGGAGAGACCCAAAAGAGAAGACTGAATTCAAGGCTCCTGAAGGATCAAAGCAATGGTCAGCCAGCAACCATTACAGCTGGGGAATGAGATGAGTCTGCTCACAGCCACACAAAGTCTGGTGGTCAACATGGTGGTCAATGAAAGTTAATTTGTGGGTGATGGAGAGGGATGAAACTCATTTTCAGAGGGTACCACGTGTCATGAGTTTATGGGGGAAGGGGGGCAACAGTGAGTTCTGAGTAAATGTATAAGTTACCATATCAGCTGAAAACATGTCAAAATGAAAGCAGGTTAATTCCTTTTATTAAATGAAGTTTAGGTTGGTGAGCATACTTCTGACCAATTAGTAAGGCACAGTTCAAGAAGGAGTTTATAAAGATTTCTCAGGCTTCCAGACCATCCTTCTTATCAGAGCAAGTCGGCAACCCCAGGACTGAGGCAGTTGCTCTGTGGAGAACCAGGCCCCTTGTGGTTCTCCAGTGGAAAAAGGAAAAGAAAATCTCCTGGTGTCAGCCAGCCAAGACCCTTGCAAGGAGGAGACAGGATGCACTGTCTGGGGACAATGAGCATGGGCGAGAGCCTCGCACCCCAAACTTAATAAAAAAATTCACACCAAAGAAAAGAACCATAAACACTGAGTCCCTCTGTGAACAGTGGTGTTCGCTGCACCCCAAGCTGAACTGTCACCGGGTCCCGACCTCTCCCACAGCTCACAATGGCCTCATGACGGACCTGGGTCACCTGTCAGAATTCCACAAAGAAGGATTTCAAAACAGGCTTCAAAAGATCTGGGTGCTGATCCTCCAGGAAAATAAGTTATGGGGACGTAAGAAACTGAGGCAGATCACAGAGTTCCGGAAGGTACATGGGCTGAAGGTTACTTCCTGTGCAGCTGAACTGAATTCCACAGTTTTTTCAAACTGCTCACAGCATAGCCTGAATCTATGCCCTAAAACTGTCCAGACTGGGATTATGGGGGAGAGCTTAAGGTGAGCCCTGGGCAGGATGTGGGCTCAGCATCCAGCACATCCCCACTCCTGCCTGTGCCAGGGCACAGACAGAAGCAAGCCTCCCTCCTCCTTCACTCCTTCCCAGCAGCCCCTGTCCGACCACCCAGACAGAACAATCATTAGTGTTACAGAAGGAACAGCTGCTCTGTCAGCATCTCTTCCTGCTGAAAGAGGAAGCACACCACCACAATGTATGGCAGAGGGGGCAGCAGCCTTGGATGGCATCTGACTGGTCCAACCCTATCAAGAGGATAAGTGACAGGTATCACAGAGATAGTGGGAAAACTATCCATGGTCTTTTCAAAAGGATGAGGGGCACACTGAGAAATCCAGCCCTCCATAGGTTCCTGGATGCACAGCCAGATTTGCCAACTCCTTAAGGCACCCCTGGGCTAAAGCACCAGCTCAGCCTTGCTTGTCCAGAAGGAAGCTGGAGCTGACATCTGACCCGCACCCCTCCTTGGAGAGTGACTGCATGTGTGGCTGGGCAGGGGCAGGGGTGCTCTGGGAAATGGCCCTAGGTGTAGCACCTAAGGTAGCTGCTTCAAGTTCAGCCCGGTTCAGAGGTTCCCTATGCAGCCACACTAATTCTTGGGGAGACTAGAATTCAAATAAAGCATTGGGAGCTGGCAGTGTCTAGGGGAAGCTGTGTATTGCATGTACCTCCATGTACCATGTATTGCATGTACCTCAGACCTGTGCCGGAGTGAATGTTTAGCCTTGGACAGAGCCTTCTCTTAAATGGGGGTGGGGAAAGGCATCTGCTGGTTCTTCTCCAGGCTGGCTGGCTCACAGAAGAAAACACACACATCCGCACACAGAGGAGGAAAGGAAGCCAGCCGAGGAAGATTGAGGGATTCCTCCAGGAAAATAAGTTATGGGGACGTAAGAAACTGAGGCAGATCACAGAGTTCCGGAAGGTACATGGGCTGAAGGTTACTTCCTGTGCAGCTGAACTGAATTCCACAGTTTTTTCAAACTGCTCACAGCATAGCCTGAATCTATGCCCTAAAACTGTCCAGACTGGGATTATGGGGGAGAGCTTAAGGTGAGCCCTGGGCAGGATGTGGGCTCAGCATCCAGCACATCCCCACTCCTGCCTGTGCCAGGGCACAGACAGAAGCAAGCCTCCCTCCTCCTTCACTCCTTCCCAGCAGCCCCTGTCCGACCACCCAGACAGAACAATCATTAGTGTTACAGAAGGAACAGCTGCTCTGTCAGCATCTCTTCCTGCTGAAAGAGGAAGCACACCACCACAATGTATGGCAGAGGGGGCAGCAGCCTTGGATGGCATCTGACTGGTCCAACCCTATCAAGAGGATAAGTGACAGGTATCACAGAGATAGTGGGAAAACTATCCATGGTCTTTTCAAAAGGATGAGGGGCACACTGAGAAATCCAGCCCTCCATAGGTTCCTGGATGCACAGCCAGATTTGCCAACTCCTTAAGGCACCCCTGGGCTAAAGCACCAGCTCAGCCTTGCTTGTCCAGAAGGAAGCTGGAGCTGACATCTGACCCGCACCCCTCCTTGGAGAGTGACTGCATGTGTGGCTGGGCAGGGGCAGGGGTGCTCTGGGAAATGGCCCTAGGTGTAGCACCTAAGGTAGCTGCTTCAAGTTCAGCCCGGTTCAGAGGTTCCCTATGCAGCCACACTAATTCTTGGGGAGACTAGAATTCAAATAAAGCATTGGGAGCTGGCAGTGTCTAGGGGAAGCTGTGTATTGCATGTACCTCCATGTACCATGTATTGCATGTACCTCAGACCTGTGCCGGAGTGAATGTTTAGCCTTGGACAGAGCCTTCTCTTAAATGGGGGTGGGGAAAGGCATCTGCTGGTTCTTCTCCAGGCTGGCTGGCTCACAGAAGAAAACACACACATCCGCACACAGAGGAGGAAAGGAAGCCAGCCGAGGAAGATTGAGGGAATGGTTCCTAAACATGCAAGGATTAGGCCTCCAAGTCTTTGTTAGAAGGGAAGGGAAACCATGAGCTTCTAATAATTAAAAAAAAAAAAAGAAATGAACCAACCCACGGAGAGATACCTGGAGGGAGAACTAGGCCTGAAGAGTTTTTCACTGTCTTCACAGGAATTATTTTAACAGCAGAAACAGAGCGCGCACGCAAAGGGTCGGCAGTTGCTGAAAACACAAAAGGGTAGATGGTGCACCCAGAAAGAACACTTGGGAAACACTTAGGCCGTGGAGGAACTGGGCGGGGACAACAGGAGGAAGTCGCCCACACAAAAGAACAATTATAAGAGCGGTGGATGCAGTGATTTAAAATAAACTGCTTTCTCTCTTGAGAGTTCTGTGCCAAGAGAGCAGAGAACCCGCCCTCTAACCATCACCCAAATGCCCGCGGCTAGTGTTTATCTGTGCCTCCTGCCACACCAGGAACTTGCCAAGGCACTGGACAAAGAGATTCACAGAGACACAAATGGCCTGGCAAAGAGAGGAGGAGGAGTCATCCTGAGCGACTGCGGAGGTGTCCCTGCCAGCCGGAGGGCTCCCAGGAGGAGAGCTCCGGCCCAGGCCCCAGACAAGTGCGGGAAGGAAAGGAGCACTTTTGAGAGGTGCTCTCAGCCATCACAGCCGCCTCTCCAGAACCCCAACTTCCCTGGGGTCCTGCGCCTGCTCTGACAACCACAGCCCTCTGTCCCCAAGCAAATCAGAAGCCCCATCTGTTGGGCAGCAGATGGTTTTGCTTAAACCCACCCTTTCATGGTCTAAGGTTGCCAAGTGTCCAAGTGCAGGCTCAAGATGCTGGGCAGCACCAAGTACACAGCCCAGGACGCTGAACCCAGCTGGGCTTCGAGAGCTGCCACAGCGGCCTGGAATGCGGCAAGGGCTGCCGCCCTCAAATCCTGGGTGTCCGTGCTTATCTGCCCACCGGCTTCCCTGGGCTCCCTCCCTCCCCAGGTTCTGGAATCTCTATGATGGGTATATCCCCACACCCTCCTTCTCACAAGCCTGTTGTGAGGTTTCCCCTCATCCTGTCTCTCTAATGGCAGCAAACAGAGGGATAAACACTCATGTGCTATGGAGCCAATGTCACCCCAATGAGCAACACCCAGAGGTTGTGCGGCGCCAGAGCCCTGTAGTGACTGGGCTGTTCGGGAAACAAGGCTGACTCTCCTGCAGCAACACTGTACTGGCAACCCTTTCAAGAGGATAGGAAGAAGGGAGGCACCTCGGTGACGGACAGGTCGCCTGCCAGCCGGTGCAGCACCCTGCCGACTCCTAAGGCAGAGGGCAGCCATACGGCATAGGCTGTCAATAACTAAGTTGATAACAGTACTGCATATATACTGAGATACAAACATGCTTTCACAGCAATCCTACTGACTGCTTCTTAGGGACCACCTGGGAGATGGACTGGGTGGGAGATTTTTGTTACCATTTCAGAGCAAGAGGCAGGGGCTCACAGAGCTGTTAAGTCATCCAGCTCTGAAATGACGATGCTAAGATTGGAATCCAGTCTGGGCTTCTGGTTCAATGACCTCACTGTACCGTGACAGTGACCTTCAGGTCACATCTGCCTCCTTTCCAAGCAAAGGTTGAGTCTCACTAAGGAGAGTGGAATTCAACTCCACCTGCCCCTCCCCAACCCCTAAAGCGTTCACAGGGATGGGGTTGATGGCCCCTTGGATTTTAAAAGAACCAAAGCCCCAACCTTTCCCCCTGATCCTCATCGATGCTCCAACTCCCCTGGAACCAGTTGGCAGGTCCCCCCACCAGCATTCCCTAAGAGCACTTCACCAAGACTGTCCAAGGCCTCATCCCACCAACGGCGAGGGGGGCTGGGCAGGGAAACAGGGGGACCAGATGAACAGGACAGCAGCAGGACAGCTCCTGTCACAGAGGGTCCACCCTTCACCCCAGCGGGGGTGCGCTCCCTGCCCCCCACCACTCTGTGCCTTCCCTCTCTGGCTGCTCCTTCTGACTTTATACTTTGCCTATTTCATTCAAAAGGAATATTTGGCTGGCCAGATGGAAATTACAAACAGAAGCCAAACAGGTCAAACTTTCTGAAATGAGTCTTGGAGAGATGGTGACTTTGCCTTTGCCCTCCTGCTCTGATGCTGCAACATTCAGTGGGTGGGCACAGAGAGGGCCCCTGGGACCCAGAATCTGCAGGAGTGCATCCTGCAGATCATCCAAGGCTCGGTCTTCTGGAGCAGGGAACTCATACCCATAAAGACAAGGGCCTCCAGGAGGTCTGCTCACAAGCAGGAGAATCAGGACCTGAGCCCATCTCTCACCCCTCCAACTCACAGCCGACTCCAGAAGCTATTTGGGCAGCCACGCTGCAACCTTCAGGATGAGAGACCGCAGGGGAAACGGCCTCAAAGGTCATCTTATCCATCATTTATTTCACATGTAAATTTTTGTCCTAGATATTTAAAAATAGGAAATAGAGGAAGGACATGAAAATCATTTATTTTCACAATTAAGGCTCTTGCCTCAGGGTCGGGACTGTGAACATGTCAATATTTATTACAGGTGAAGGTGAGATGCTGCATAAGGGAGATTCCAGGCTGATAAACGTCACATGTACCAGGCATGAGGTACTCCTCACCTCAGTCTGTGTATTTGATCTGTTCCCATGTTAGGAACAGTTTTTAATATGTCACCTCACAGTGGGCAACAGCAGTCTCAGACTCAGGAGATGCAAGAACATGCTCAAGATCTCCGAAAGTCAGCATGGGAAACAGGGCTGGCGTTCACGGCCTGGCTGGACCAGTCACTCTCCTCAGCAGGCAGGGGCCCAGGCCTGACATACTCCGCTCCTCCGCGAAGGCTTGCCAGTATTCAGCCAGGCTTCCCTTCAAGGGCCTTACCTTTGTCCTGCCCGTTGCTACCTGGTGCCAACCCGTTCACCACAGCTTTAGAAGCACTGACATCACACTCTGCAAGAGAAAAAGAACACGAGGCTTTTGATTATGTCTCCCGGCATTTCTCGAGTCTCGCTTGGTATGAGGTGCTGGGGACATGCAGGCTCTCTCAGGCCTGGGGCTGGGTCCCCTCAGTTGCCTTGGGAGAATTCTGAGAGTTGTGTAGCTTGAGCCAGGAAAGGAGCTTCTGCAGCTATTCAGGAAAGCAAAGTTTGTGGTAGGAGATCAAAACCCTCCTTCCTCCTTGCTGTGGCTTTGTTTCTCATGTTTTCAAAGGATCTGCTCAGTTCTCTCAAAATAGCAGCTCCTGCCTGACATTCAAAGGCTGGCTCCAACACACCCCTGTGCCACCAGAGTGAGAGCTGTCGGACAAGCGAAAGCCTAGGCTGACACTTCCCTCCACCCCACCCCACATCTGCTGTCACCAAGGTCATGCTGTTCCTCCAGTAAATGTCTCCAGACACTGCCCCTCCTCAGCAGCCCACTGGCCCTACCGGAGGCCTCATGTGTGCGTCCCAGAGAGGGCACGGCTTCCTGAGCACTGCAGATCATCCAAGGCCCTGTCTTCGAGAGCAAGGAACTCACACCCATAAAGACAAGAGCCTCCAGGGTGTCTGCTCACGGGCAGGAGAATCAGGACTTGAACCCATCTCTCACCCCTCCAACTCACAGCAGACCCCAGAAGCTATTTGGACAGCCACGCTGCAGACTTCAGGATGAGATCACAGGGGAAAGGCCTCAAAGGTCATCTTATCCACCATTTATTTCACACGTCTTCTGTACCCCACCCCTCAGAGCACTTTCTAGAGCCTGCCCTCCCTAGGTTACAAAGCCCTTGGATGCAGGACAGATAAAGGCAAAATGGGACCATGCAGTACAATTTTCTAAAACTTCTCTTTAGTAAATATACTGTAATTCACCTCTGTTCAAAAGAAAAATATTAAAGTTTATTCTAGGAATTTAAACATTTATACTACCATTTCCACAGGGTGAAAAATGTATTCCAAGTTCCCAAAAATATATAAATGATTTCTGGAATATAATTTTTTTTTACTAAGTGGGATGACCTGTATCTTGGCATAGCTGCTTATACTTAAGTTAACTGACCTGGAAAATGGAAACCTAATAAGCCCTGGTGGTCAGCAGCTATCTAGCCACTCCCAACACTGGCCCCACAGATCCTGCCCTGTTCACACCCTCAGTCCACCTAGAGATGAAGGCTAATTCTCCCAGAGGCCAGAGCCTCCCCTGTACCCACACTGCTGGGTGGACGGAAGGGCCAGAAATCCAAGCAGAGACATCACGGGTCCATCACCCATCTGTTCTTCGACTATCCCTTCCCCAGGCACCGACCCTACTTCCTCTTGACCACCTCCTTTCTGTCACTGTGGGCCTTGCTTCAGGCCTCCCCAAGCTGGCACTGGGGCAGCCTCTGAGCTTCCACCAGGCCCAGTACCATGTCTTTCCTTTGTCTTTTTTCTTTTAACAAAACATAGTTAAATTTGAAGGAATTTTGAAAATCTATCATCTCAGACCCATACCACTGCAGCCGAGTGTTGGTGTCCAAGGGTCTGGGTTTGCCTCCGTACCTCTACACGCTAGCCAGGTGATCCCAGACAAACAACTGACCCCTCAGGGCCTCAGCTTCCCCCTTTACAGCATGGGAGTGGTAAACCATGCCCATCTTTGCAGATTTGCCAGGAAAATGAAACCACACAAGCCTAGCACATCCCTCAGCAACTGGCAGTCCAGTCCAAATGAGGAATAAAACGAACGCATCATTTTCATGATGCTCTTTCCACCAAAGTTTAAAACAAATGTTTCCTATGTAGCTGCTTTCTTCCTACTGATCGCTTTTAATAGTGGCATAATATTCCATCAAGTAAATAAATGCAATGAACCTCCTCATTCCCCAACTTCGGGGAGGTTTTCTTTTGTTTCCTTTGAATTAAGATACAAATTCCCAAAAGTAGGATCATCAGGTCAAGGGTCCAGATTTTTTGGACTCTTCTTACGAAATGCCTTTTCCAGCCCCAGGCCTGGGAGAGCCCCACAGGCCTTCCTGCACCCTTAGCCTTCTGCCAGGCCCCTCCCCTTCTTACTTTTCCACCCCTACATTCATGCCAGGAGTGGCAGTGCCCCCACAGGCTAATTCTGATATGAGAACAAAAAACTTCAGGCTGCAGAGCAGAAGTTTAAAAAAAGAAATTAAAAAGCCCTGTCCTGTTTTAAATGACAGGAAAAGCAAAAGCCAAACAAACAAATAAACAAACAAACAAAATGAGCTATAAAAGCAGGAGCTACTGGCAGTACTTGAGTCCACCTGAAGGAAAAGAAGGCCCATAGCCTCCTCACACTCGGAAAAGTGCTCAAGGATCAGGGACACGCCAACCCCTCTCCTTGCAAGGAAGAAAGCTGAGCTGGTGACCCAGGGATGGGACCCCAGGCATGCCCTAGGCATGAAGTCAGGACTTCAGAAGCACTGTCTCACTTAATCCTCACAAAACCCCAATGAGTCAGTCGCGCTTACGTTTTCCATTTACGGAGGAGAATGCAGGGAGGGGTCCACCACTGGTGCAGGGCTACACAGCTGGCGGGTGAGGATGCCAAGCTACAGCCCGGAGCTGTCCCACCCGGAGCCCTCCTTGGTCACAGAAGCACACTGTCCTGCACAGTTTAGGATCTGGCTAACAGGGCGCTGTGTGTAAATAAATACTGGAGAGGTTTGTTTTTTTAATTTACGGAGGTTTCTGATAACCGCCTGGAGAGCCTGAAGGACTGGGAGACCCCTGAATGAGCTGCCCACTTGGTCCTCCACACAGCCTGCATGTCACCGGATGCTCCAGGGCACACGGAGTGGCCAAGGCAGGCCTCAACCTCCAGAGGGCAACTGCTCTGAATTCTGGGCTGGAAAGCTGACAGCTCTTCACTGCACAACGAACAGGGGCCTCTTCCCTTCTCTGTCTTCCCTAGCCCACGCTTTCCACTCCAGCTCTAAACTAAAATTGGTCAAAACTGGCCATTTGTTTAGGTCTCGATTTTTACTATCGAAGGCGTAGCAAAAGGGTGAGCAAACTGCTCTACCAGCCTGGATGAAGGAAGTGTTAGATTAGTTTGCATCCTGGAACAATTATGCTCAATCTGTTTACTTTTGCTGGTCCCTCAGATTAAGAAATGCCTCTGAAATTTTATAAAAATTTATGAAATTGTATACTTAAAATATCTATAGTTTATTTTATGCCAATTATATCTCAATAAAGTTATTAAAAAATAGAGGGAAGGGATATATAAAGATTAGGACATGGTATATGTAAAGCAGACAGCACAGTTCTTAATACATGGTAAGTACTCAATAAGTCATTATTAATAAAGATGCTGATGGTGATAATGATGCTTTACGGCAAAGTTTGGCACTTACCCAGCTCTCAAAAAATAAAAAATGAAATGCAGTTAGAGCCTTCAGAGCAAGTGGAAAATCTGGGTAAACTCCCCAGTTTTATAGATATGTCAAGTAGAGAAAGACAAGGCTTAAAATGACTTACCAGAGCTCATGGTGGTGACAGGTCAAGTCTTCTGCAACTGGAACTCTGGACTGCTCTGTAGAAAAACAAACACCCCACAATGGAATTCATGGATGGAAGGTTCAAGAAAAATCCCTCAGGTCTGAATTAAAAATGCAAACACCTCCTATAACCCTTGATAAAACAGAACAGAACCAGGAGTCCCATGACAAGGCTTCTCGTTCTTAGTCGCCTACTACCAACATGCTGTCGGGCACATCACTTACCTCCTTGGCCTCAATTTTGTCATTCTTACCTGGTTCAGATTCTATCCAGGATCTCTCCCAGCTCTAACATTTCATTAAAAACCTCAAGTTACATGAGTGCACATGGGACGAGGAGTACCAGAAAGAACAAAATTTTGGGAGAAAGAAGTAAAATCACAACACAAACTGATTATTGGAGGCTACTAATAAGTTATCCTCCACAAAAAAGTATTCTCACAAAAAAGTATTTTAGATGCTTTAAACATATTAACTCATTTGATCCTCACAATGACCCTACTAGGTAAACACTCACATTGTGTCAGTTTACACAGATGAGGAAACCGAGGCACACAGAGGGAAACAGCCTGCAGGTGTGACAGAGGTGGTAGTGGAACCCAGAGAGCCTGACTTGAAGGCCCAGGTTCTACCACCTTGAGGTGGGAACGCATTCCACTTACCACTGATGAATTCAAGTGTGACCCTCTCATGCAGCCTGGTCTCATCCCCAGCAACCACTGATCTGGTTTCTGTCACTGTAGTTCTACCTTTTGTAGAATTTTATACAAATGGTATCTTAGTGTATCTTTTGAACCAAGCTTCTTTCACTTAGCATAACACAATTTAGCACATATACCTGGACTTTATTCTATTCCATTGATCTGTCTTTATCCAATAACTTAATGTCTTGATTACTATAGCTTTATAATAAGTCTTGAAATCAAGTAGTGTGAGTTTTCCAAATCTATTCTGCTTTAAAATTGTTTCAGCCCTTCTAGGCCCTTTGTACTTTCACATAAAGCTTAGAATCATCGTATTAATTTCTACCAAAAAACAGAAACAAAAATTTTGTTGGAATTTTAATTGGGATTGTGTTGAGTGTATATATCAGCCTGGGGAAAGATAATATTTTAACAATATTAAATCTTTCAATTCATGAGCATGAACTATCCCTCTATGAGAATTGTCTTAAATTTTTCTCTGCAATGTTTTACAGTTTTCAAAGTACAGTCTTGTACATATTTTGAACAGCAAGGTCTAGTCGAACACATCTGAAGGACAATCTGAAAAGTGCGTCTTCAGAATATGTAGAACCTTGCTATTTACAGCACAGTCCCAGACTAGTGCACTGGATTCAGCTGGGAGCTTATAAAAATACAGAAACTCAGACTCAACCCCACACCCACTGAATCAGAATCTGCATTTTAATAAGATCCCCAGCTGGTCCCTATGCACTTTAAAGCATGAGAAGCAATGATATAGGAAATCAACTCCTTGGGTTCATGAATTCTTTAATAAAAAGGTCACGGTATGGTCTGACGGGCTGCTCAAGGAGACATGCTTTGGTTTCCTTGCAACACACTGAAGCCAGGCACTGGCTTCCTTGCTGGGCAGCTGCCTTGCTTGCTGTCCTTAGAACTGACTGAGTAAAGTGCTAGGGGCAAAAAGGGTATCACTCTAAGTTCTTCTCTGCAGCCCAGGTCAGTAGTAATGTTGCCCCCGTCACTGTCAAATACACCTGGGACTACCGGTGACCTTCAACAGTCCCTCAGATCGTTCTCTTAGCTGTGGAAACATTCCTTCTTTTAAGGAATACGACCTGCTCTGTGTTCTGTATGCCCAAGTGGTTTCCAATACTGGTTTCATGATATGTCAGTTTGCCTCCCAGAACCAAAGGGCTGTCATGATGTCATCCAAATGCTTTTAGGTCTAAAATAATTTTAATAATTGTATTATATTAAGGTTTTATTTATTCAACTTTTAAAGCACAACTGAAGAAATGTTTTTGATTGAAGCACGAAGCTATCCTAATAGTATTTTTCTTTCTTTATAGCCCCTTCTTACCTTTATCTATTTTCATAAATAGTATTTATAGTTGTAAACATAATGTCTAGACAGCTTTGTGTTCCAATTTTCTTTTTCTTTCTTTTTTTTATTAAGTGGTCCAATTTTCAAATCAATTATTTCGTGACTATTTTTATGGATTTTTATAGTCACCATATCCATCATTTTAATGGCTCTATAATATTTCATTGTAATAACACTCCATAATTCATTTACCAATGCTCTCTGTATAGCTGAGTTTAATTCATCTTAATTTTAAAAATAAGGATATAGCACAACAGCATTCTTAGGCAGGGAAATAGAAGAATGGAAATGCCTTATGAACCAAACAAAAAGCATTCCTCAACTCACACAAGAGCAATCACTGTCTGCCCTAAGTGGGTAGCCCTTTGCCCATTTCTGTATTTCTCAATACAGATACTAATAATTTCTAAGTGTCACTTGGTTAGGGATAATACCCAAAATATTAACTATCGTTTTGCCACAACTGTCCACCAATGGGAGTCCATGCCAGGTGTTAACCATTTAGTGACTGGACGGTACAAACAAGGAAGGCGTACACGGCTCGGGGTGGTAGGACACTATTTAAATGTGTCAGGAACTGGGACAACAGCAGCAGTGCGGTGACAACACATAGGTGAGCACCAGCTCTGTACACACAGGCTTTTTGGATGGCATGTTTGTGGTGTGCTTTCACTCAGCTGTTTGAATCTGCAGGTGACACAAAGAACCAGGGGGCAGTTTAAAACAAACTGCAGCAAACGTGGCAGTGACAGCTGTGCCTAGGACAGCACCTGGTGTCCAGTACTTATGGTGTTAACCATTTAGTGACTGGACGGTACAAACAAGGAAGGCGTACACGGCTCGGGGTGGTAGGACACTATTTAAATGTGTCAGGAACTGGGACAACAGCAGCAGTGCGGTGACAACACATAGGTGAGCACCAGCTCTGTACACACAGGCTTTTTGGATGGCATGTTTGTGGTGTGCTTTCACTCAGCTGTTTGAATCTGCAGGTGACACAAAGAACCAGGGGGCAGTTTAAAACAAACTGCAGCAAACGTGGCAGTGACAGCTGTGCCTAGGACAGCACCTGGTGTCCAGTACTTACCACTGGTTCCAGTCTGGATAGGATGTTTTTCTGGCTGTAATTCCATCCAACTCAGACTCCTTGAGTTCCTGCCCCAGTTCTCAGTGCAATTCTCCAGTCTCCCAGGAACTCTGAACTACCCAAGATCTTGCCAATAAATCCCTTTTCAGTCTGACTTAACCAGAGGTGGTTTCTGGTAATTTGCAACCCAGGAATCTTGACCAGCACAAGATGAAGGGGAGAAGAGAGTCCCACAGGTTTTATTTGGAGAAGAGAACCTCCCTTCCTCTCTCCCGAGGTAAGGCCAGCCAAACCTGAATCCCAAGCGGCTCACTGAATGGTTTTGCCTCTACAAGCTGAAGAGCTCTGCATCAGGGCGGCAAGGATGTGACCAGGAAACTGCACAGACGCAGGCTGAGCAGGACACTGAAAGCTTTGGCAGTCATAGTCTAGTCCCTGAAGATTTTTGAGAGTACAAAAAGCTATTACAATCACATGTAGAATGTGAGAGTTTATTTTACATAAAAACTTTTGACACTTAATATTTATTTAGAACTAAGCTATAAAGACTTTGATTTGTTAAGACCATGAGGGCATGTCACTGGAATTTCTCCCACTAATCCCTACAAACGCAGCAGGCGCCTCTGGGTAAAAGCCAAAAAGATGAGCAGTGCCATCTAGTGGCAACACCAGACAGCTGCAAGCAGCAGCTATCTACCAATGGGTTGTGGGAATCTGAAAGTGTCGGGGCTTGGGCGGGCCAGCAAGGGTCAAGCCATCACTTCACCCTCAGAGCTATCGGGACCTGCGGCACTTGGTAAAAGCTCCGCAGCATCAACACAGACATTCCACCAGAAGAACAAGATGTGAAGTAGCCAGATTTGTTAAGACTACATTTGGATAATTAATGGTTCTCTGTGATTCCTCCCCAGTTCCACGATCCTATAATTCTGAGATAAGTCTTGATAACACGGAGTGAATAATTACTAAAAAGCAAAAGTTATACTCATGCTTCCAGCTGAAATAGAACCCAGTAACTAAATATGGGTTGTTTACTGGGGAAGGAAAAAAGGTCCTTCCTTTTATGGATGGTTCAGAGACATATGATGAGGGAAAAATTGAGTTAGTCTGTAAAAATGAATTCACAGTCCAGCAAAGGTTCCTGGAAGAGAATGTGCCCTGGCTGACCTCTCACTAGGCATGCTCCAGCGTCTCCTATGCCCTGTGGTGCTTTGCCTCCATGGCTTCCCCCATATTCATTTACAAACAGGACCGTAAGTTTTCAGAGAAGAGACTGTCAACCTTAGGACTGAGCAGACAGTGGATGCTCAGTTATGAACTTTGTCCTTGTCTCTATTTCGCCTTCAGAACCTAATGTTGGAGTCTTACCTGCAAGGCAACCAGGACCCTCAGCTCTACTGCAGCTGCCTAAAGAGAAGCAACCTTCCCATTCCAACCAAACCATGATTATACTCTAGCTTTGAAATCCAAACTGAGACTTGACTTGATATATTTGCAGCCACTTCCAATGGCCTGAAAAGATCAGGAACAGCTCACAAAGCCCCAGAATAAAACGCTTGGTCTACTGCTGATCCATCAGTGAAGCCATGTTTCCTCAGTTTTTCAATAGCTCATCTTCTTCTCAATCTCTATTAATGTCATTTCTCTTCAAATGTACTCTCTACATTGTTGGTGAGGGTGCAGAAGGCTCTGCAGAAAGCCAGAATGGGTAAACACCGAGTCGCTGATGCTTCCTTTCAAGGGGAGGAAGTTAGGATAAACTTGACCCTGACATTAATTTCAGTCTGGAATCCCATGACACAGCTGGGTGCTCAGAACACAATCAGCACCAGGTTTCTGTGAAAAGACCGATGCTTCTGAAGAGGGACTAATAGGAAA